GCACCTGGGTGGCTCAGTTGGTTAAGCACCTGACTTGGTTTTAGCACTGATCATAATCTCAGTGTTGTAAGATCGAGCCCTGCATTGGGCTCTATACTCAGCATGGAGTCTGCTTGGTTTTCTTTCTCCCTTTTCCTCTGCCCTTCCCCATGTGTGCTCTTTCATTCTATCTCTTTCTCTCTCAAATAAATAGATAAATAAATAAATAAATAAAATAAAATCTTTATATCCAAGTGTGTTTAAATTTACTTCTACCGAGATACAAAATACTACTAACAAATAATGGTAAATTAAAATTTATATGGCAAACTAATTGTTCTAAGATTCTTTTCATATGCATAATTTAGAAATGATGCAGAAACATTATCTACTGAGAAAAAACACAGACGACTTAGATGTACAGGTGAAATTCACTCTGAATATATAAACAAAACTACTTTTAGAAATTTCCAAAGATAAGCAGGAGGAAAATCTTTGTAAAAAACATGGCAGACCAAGAACAAATGTTCCTTTTAAACTGTATATGGCCCACCTAAAAGCATGGACTCTGAACCAGACTACCTGGGTTTGCAATATACTTTCTAGCTGTTTAATCTTGGGTAAGACACTTAAGTTCTCAATGTCCCAGTTTTCTGACCTATAAACTGGGGTTTGTAATATAGTATCTAGTTTATAAGTAGTTGCAAAGTGTTTAGAATAGTGCTTGGCACATAGTAAGTGGTCAATAAAAGTTAGGTATTTTTAAATTATTCTTCTTAAAGTAGCAGAAATATTATATTTCTCAAAGTCTGTTTTCTCTTCCTTATTTTAATAATAGAACCTCAAGTTGTAACTGTGCATATGACTGTCCAGAATAAACAATGAATCTTCTAGCCTTTACTACTGCTAAGACTGACCAGGTGTCCAGGGCCTAACCAATGAGATGTAAGCAGAAGTGTCATGTGGCAGCTAATGATAACTTTCCTTGAAAGACAACTAGATTCTTACCAGATACTCAAAATTAAATAACATGGGGCACCTGGGTGGCTCAGTGGGTTAAACCTCTGCCTTTGGCTCAGGTCATTGTCTCGGTCCTGGAATCGAGCCCCGAATCAGGCTCTCTGCTCAGCAGGGAGCCTGCTTCCCCCTCTCTCTCTGCCTGCCTCTCTGCCTACTTGTGATCTCTTTCTCTGTGTCAAATAAATAAATAAAATCTGTAAAAAAATTTTTTTAAAAATTAAATAACATGAAGCTGCTAAGGGTTGGCAAGGACATAAAGCAATAGGAATCTAAAACATTGCTGGTGGGAGTGTTAATTAGTACAATCACTTTAGAAAACAGTTTGCCATTATTGAAAAAATGTGATGATATGCATACTCAATAATCCAGAAATTCATTCCTAAAATTATGTTCCAGAAAAATGTACATGTATATTAGGATATATGTACAAGGATATTGATAGAAGCACTATTTGCAATTTGTAATAATCCAAAGGTCCATCAAGAATAGAATGGATAAATAAATTGAGGTATATTTATACTATGGTGTATTCAGCAATGAAACTGAATTAACATACATACATACAATGTCACTCACTGAATAGAAACAAGAACCAAACTAACACAGACAGCAATATTTAAAAATAAGCAAAACTATATCATTTAGAAAGCATACTTGGGTGAAACTAAACAAAAGCAAAGCAGTGATTACCATAAAGTCAGGATTATAGTAATCTCTAGGTCTAGAGGGAGACTTCCTCAAGGGAGAGTTGTGATTAGAAAAGGAAACACAGCTTCTCAAATTCTTGTAATGCTCTGTTTCGAGTGGAGGTTGCATAGATGTTTTTTTAAAATAATTTTTTAAGCTATAGATTGTCTTTAGCATTTTTCTATATGAACATTATATTTCACAATTTTAATTACAGATATATAAAGGAACATTGTGCTCTTGGCCTCTCCTCTTTTTCATTCCTTGCTCCATCTTGCTGCCTGAAACATAAACACTGCCACCTGAGACCCTGAGACCAAGGACCACAGCACAGGAATATCAGAGTAATGAGCTTGATGGTTAAGTCCCTGAGGACTTTGTGGGGCACAGCTGCCATATCAGACCTCAACCTTTTACTTCTGTACCTCATTTACAGGACAGAGAAATAAATTTTACATTGCTTTGAGATTTTCTGTTATCTACACAGTCAAATCTGGTATTAACTAATGTACCTATTTACAAGATCTTCAAGAGACAACCTACTGGATAGAAAAATCACCTGATCTTGTACATACACACAGACACACAGACACACACACACACACAAAATTAGGCAATTAATGGGATTCATGGAAGAAGCAATCCAAAGAGCTCATGGGCATCTAAAAAGTGTTTAATCCCAGCATTAATCAGGAAAATGTAAATTAAAACAATAATAAGATAGTATTTTTCATGTGTCAGACCAGAAAATAAAAGAAAAAATATTCATTTCTGTTGAGTACTCAGGAAAATGATCCGTCTCAGGCATTGTTAAAATAAATCACTACAAATTTTTGAAAGGTAAATTGGCACTATTAAATTTGAAACAATTTTACCACTTAAGGCAGCAAAGCAACACAAATCTATACCATAGGAATAACAGCAATAATATTCAAAACTCTACATCTAAGAATTCCCATTGCAGCATTATTTGTCAAGATAAAAAAAAAAACACAACAACCCTGAAAACAATCTGCTAAAGCCATCAGTAGCAGAATGTTTGGATAGATTATAGCATATTTTCACTATGAAATAATATGCAGCTGTTAAAATGAGTTAAATCTATATATTTTTAACTGGAAGGTTGTTAATGATGTATGGTTTAGTGAAGGAGAGTGAAAAATAAGTCACCCATTTTTATATAATTGGCCAAACTATTTTGTGTGTACATGTCCATATAAATTTGTATGAACGTACAAGAAGGTATGAAAAGATATTCCCTTGGGTGGAGGGATGGGGTAACTGAGTGATGGGCGTTAAGAAGGGCACTTTAGATAAAGTGAACACTGGGTGTTACATGCAGCTGATATATCACTAAAGTCTACCTCTGAACTAATAATATAATATATGTTAATTAATTGATTTTAAATTTAAAAATTTAATTTAATTTTTAAAAGATACACCCAGATTGTTAACATCGGTTATCGGGGAATAAGTTTCGTAATAGAGATTACATTTTCTTAATTCATTTTAGGATGGTTTTGCCGGTTACAAAGAGTATGAGTACAATGAGTGTTACTTTTGTAATTTTTACAAAATTAATTTAAAATTAGTTTTAATAAAAGGTATACATCCAAGAATACATAGTAATGTACCTCAATGACAGATGAACATCTTTATATTGATTACCGCCAAACATTAAATCCGTACGGGTGAAGCAAACTGCACAAACCTGCGCAAAATACAATGAAGTCAGTAACTTGGGAGAGTAACGTGGCTTATCCACTGATGTTTCATAATTACTATTTTGTTAGTAGTTAACTGGAAAAACACCCATGTGTTAGTAAAATAAATAAATGCATGTTACTTCTTGCAATATTCTGGGGAGAAATTTAATGCCAAGTTATGTCACGGAAAGAAAGATAGGAGTTAAGAAATACAGCAACAATTCTTCCTGGTCAGGTGGGTCTAGTAATTCCTAAATGAGTGTGTTTGTGAAGGGTTGGCTATCAATCAACATGTACAATCTGCATGTCCCAATTCTAGCTATCTTCCTGCCCCTCCTCAAATGCTCTTATGCCATCAAGGCACGGCCAACACCTAGCCAGATACCTGAATCAGGCTGGCCTCCTCCCTTTCACTTTCTTGTCTCCCTGCATCTGATGGCTCAATCCTGTTTTACGTCGGGAAAGCTTCTGCCCTTGCCTTCCCTCTGCTCCTTTCCCGTTTGGCCAGGATTAGCCAATAACATCAGAAATCCAGACTCCCTGGCCTGGTCTTCCCTGCCTTTCGTACCGGCTCCTTCCGGGCTTCCCGCCACCTTCTCCGCTGTTACTCTCCACTCGATGCTGCAAAGGTTCCGCTCACCAACGAGGACACCCGCAGCCTAGGCACTGGGCAACGGCAGGCGGAAGTGCTGGGAGCCCGAGGGGCGGGGCCTGGCCAGGTTGGCCAATGCCTGCGCTGAGCCCAGGGCCAGAGGTCACATGCTCAGTAGGCGGGAGTTTTCCCAGGCGGAGAGGGGTCGGTGGCGATATTCCCTTCAGTAGCAACCCTGAGAGGCTGAAGAGAGGAGAGAGGGAAGGTGTTCTTGAGCAGAGGAGAAGAAAAGGTCAGGACGGGTTTAGAGTGTGGCAGCTCCAAAATTTCTGGAAAATATCTTTGTGAGGCACGGTTGATGTGGCTCTGTGAGGACAAGACCCCAGAACCAGGGTCCACGTAACTTAATGTGGCGGGAATAGAGGCGAAGGGCACAGAAAAGCCAGTGGTATTTCAACCCACTAACAAGAAGTTGTACAGATTAAAAAATACGAGAAAATGTGTGAACCTTGCCTCCTCTGGGATATTACATGGTTAAAGTGTGGTTTTTAGGCCAAGGAGTGAGGAAAGGAAGAAATCTCCATATGCCTGAGCCCGGTGAGAGGAGGTGGAAAGCCAGCCCTAAAATTCATATTCACTCGTATGTGTCTTAAATAATCTTGGAAATAATATTCCATTATATATACCTACACTTTAAATATGTAAAACTTTTATCTCAATGATACTTCAGTAAAACTGGGTGGAAAAAAATCTTCTGCCTTCCTTCTCTGGTCTTTTGCGTAAGAGCCTAACCTAATTATTTATATGCATTTCCATTTTGGCCCCAGTCAGGAGGTAGCACAAGAGAAATAAAATCTTTAGAAACAGGTAAGGAAAAATATTTCAGGAATTGCTGCAATTCCTGATTGATTGATTATTTTTAAAATAACTTCTCTTTAGCCATGATGTTGCTTGTTTTCTCCCTTGACTTTAGAAATAAGGCTGATCTCTCTTCCTATCCGTCCACTATTTTAAGTTGGAGTCAAATACCTGTAATGCAATGAAGTAAAGTTGACAGGTGAGAAGAATTCTATGAGTATATATGATATATAGTATCTTATTTAAGTACTGTATGTTCAACATGAATTTAAATGATTAATTTCAATACAACAGTAATTATTGTTTAAGATAGTTGATGAGAGTGATGAATCTGAACCTAGTAGAAATACAGGCTTCACCAGAAAGGAAAATTTAAGATAAACGCTGACAATGACTGAATGGATTAACTACTTAGTTAATCCATTGGTTGTTTTAAACTTTTTGAAATGACTTCTAGAATGAAGCACATCAGATAATGTTTTTTTGAAAGCACAGTATCACGAAATGGAAATTCTAAATTAATATTTGCCGCAAAGATCAGTGAACACTGTATGGAAAAGGTATGGAAGTACAGTGATTGGAAAATATTTCCGGAGAAGTAATCACCAGTAAGAAAATGTTATGTTGACATTGTTTAATTAAGAGTGGAAGAGGGCACCCACACTATGTACTCCCCACATCTGTTGATACCACAGAACCTAACAATATTAAAAATATTTCAGTATATTAAAAATAATTTAAAAAAATAATAATTCAGATAGCTTATTGGGTTTGTTTTAATTGGAAAGCTTATTGTAATATCCACAATGTCTTATGATTCATTAATCAGATAAAGTAATTATATTCCATAATCAGTTTGATCTTAGTTTTTTTAATACAGTAATTGAGTAGTTAAGAATGGTCTCTCGGGGCACCTGGGTGGCTCAGTGGGTTAAAGCCTCTGCCTTTGGCCCAGGTCATGATCTCAGGGTCCTGGGATCGAGCCCCACATCGGGCTCACTGCTCAGCGGGGAGCCTGCTTCCTCCTCTCTCTCTCTCTGCCTGCCTCTCTGCCTACTTGTGATCTCTGTCTGTCTAAATAAATAAAATCTTAAAAAAAAAAAAGAATGTTCTCTCGATGATGACTGAAAATAGGAATAGATCATAACTAATGAATGTAGATGAACTCTTAAGGTCTTCTGGTACTGTACCTTCACCCTAGATAAAGAAAAAGGTAAACTTCAAACAGATTTAAAATAATAATGAAACTAAGGCAAAGCCATTCAGATTAAAATGTTTATTTCACTTACTAAGAACTTACTGACAAACGACTATATGAAGACTTCTGGCTTACATCTGAATTACCCAAAACATTTTAAGTAATTGATCAAAATGCTAAGAACTACCTGATACATTGATTCTATTCTAGAGTGACTCTTATAAGCTGTAATTGCTCTGGTTATCACATAAATGAGAACCATCTTGGATTCTCAGCATTCTTTTTTTTTTTTTTTTTTTAAAGATTTTATTTATTTTTTTGACAGATGGAGATCACAAGTAGGCAGAGAGGCAGGCAGAGAGAGATGAGGGAGCAGGCTCTCTGCAGAGCAGAGAGCCCGATGCGGGGCCCGATCCCAGGACCCTGGGACCATGACCCTAGCCGAAGGCAGAGGCTTTAACCCACTGAGCCACCCAGGTGCCCGGATTCTCAGCATTCTTAAATTTACCTACCGCTTCATTAGATGAATTTGTTTATTTACCAATAATAATGTACCCATTGACCTAGGAATACTATGTCTTAGTGGCTTTATTCCAAATGGGCTATTAAGGAATTCTAACTTCAGCCTTTTTTATTTATTTTTTTTTTTAAAGTAAACTGTACTCCCAACAGGGGCTTGAACTCATAACCCCAAGAACAAGAGTCACATGTTCTTCCAACTGAGCCAGTCAGGCACCCCCCTGGGCTTTTTATTTTTTAAAAGACTGCAATTTCCCAGATTCTTCTCCCCTGCTTCAGCACAGTTTTACTTGTGGTTATTCTATTTCAAGACCACTTAAGAAATACGGTTATCCTGAGAAAACCACTGTACCATTCTTTCAAATTCCTGCCTCTTTTGCAACAAAATGATCACAGAATATGTACTTTAATCCACCAGCCAGAAGTTGTGTGGATTAAATAATATATGAACATATATGAAAATTAGATGAGTGATTTTATATCAACATACATTATTTTCATATTAGATTTAAATCATAGTAATAACTTATTTTTATAGTTAGCTTTTTTTAAATCACTCAGTGCCTTCTTAAAAATGATTGAACCCAAGTTTTGTGATTAAGAATGGCTTCTTTCTCCTTTTGCTATTTTACCAACATTTAATTTTGATTTTTGTATTTCCAGGTACTGAAATTTGTACCACTTTCAAAGAAAGAAGACATGTTTTCAACATTCAAATATTGTGCAATAGACTATTTATATGAGGTAGCGTGTTACTGAATCACTAACTACCAAGAATTATGATATGAAAAGTACTATCTGCATTCACTACATGATTATGATAATTTTGCATTAGTCCTTAGATTAATCCTTAATCTAATTACTTTGAGATTTATTTAAAATTTCTTCCCACTTCCAGTATACCTTAAAAATGCCACTTTTGGAAGGAAATTATTGGCAATGTATTGTGAATTGAAGCTGTCAGCAGAAAAAAAAAGGAGACTTGGCATATTTAGGCTGCTTTTGTATCAACATTCTTGAGTGATCGTCCTTGAAAAGAGTGGGGTGGGGGAAGCAGTCCCAGTTATCTTTATGAGGAAATAACAGTAATAGCATGTATTGACCACTTGCTATAGGCCAGATACTTTGCTCTTTTGATAGATTATATCTTTTGATCATTTGCTCTTTTGATGGGTTATGCCATTTGATCATCATGACTACTCCAAGAGCTAGATTTTACAATTTTACAGGTTCGGAAACTGATGTCTAGAGACCTTAAACAGCTTGTAAGAGGCTGAGATTCAAGTCTAGTACATTGTTAAGAAACTAATTGGAGTAGTCGTCATACAATAAATCATTGTTCTTATAATCTTAATTGAGAAGTTATATTTTTATTTTCTTTATAACCTTGACCTCTTTACCAGGAAAAAGTTATTCCAATATAACTAAAACTGTTACATTTTATAGGAAATAAGAAAGACATTTAGACATCTTCAGGTTTTATTATTTCTTCATAACTTGCATTACTTCCCAAGAGTTCTTTGTTTGCTGAAGGTGTTAATCATATTAAATAAAAGGTCTTAATTATCCAAGTATAAATGGTACAAAGGAAGAAGCGTTAAAGTAATTTACATAAAATGAGGACCAAAGGTTCATTGCAAAACAGAAAAAAAGCTGATTAATACCTTTGTCTAAAAAAAAAAAAGAAACAAAGCTACAGACATTAAATTCATAACTGTGGGAGGTAAATGTGTTATTATAGCATTTACATGGTAGGGAATCAGAAGTCATTGTTAACCAGATATATTTATGAATATATTGGCCACTTCAAAATTAGTCTGTATTCAAACATCCTTAAACTTTTATCCTTGCCTGTAGTATCTTAGTTTCTCACTGGTGGATCACATCCCATGATATAGTACAAATATGATACTGACTGATGGCATTTCTTACAAAAGTTGTAGAATTCTGTAAAGTTCATGAAATCAGTATTGAGGAGCCACTCAACAGGTAAAGCTATTGTCAAATGAAGACCTTGCAACATTAGATTAGTTACAGAGAAGAGGAAGAGAATGATTTGCATATTAAAGGAGTCAGAGATGCCTTGGGAATATTTTGGTTAAATATTTTTAAAAAATATCTTCTTTATAATCAAACGTGAGGCAATGATTAATATCCATATCATTACATAATACAGTTTATGGGAGAATTTTGACAAAAAACCAGTTATGGTTACAAGCTAATTATAAATAAAATTTTATTAGCTACAAAATTTAATGTCTGTAGCTTTGTTTCTTTTTTTTTTTAGACAAAGGTATTAATCAGCTTTTTTTCTGTTTTGCAATGAACCTTTGGTCCTCATTTTATGTAAATTACTTTAACGCTTCTTCCTTTGTACCATTTATACTTGGATAATTAAGACCTTTTATTTAATATGATTAACACCTTCAGCAAACAAAGAACTCTTGGGAAGTAATGCAAGAAACTATCATTTGTCCAAATACATAGAATAATGAATTTTGTGGGAAGTTGAGAGTTACTGAGGAAAAGCTTCATAGCGGAGATATTGCTTAAGATGGGCCTTGAAAGATAAATAGGATTTTTTTTGATAAATAGGATTTTGATAATCTGAGAAGAATAGTGGGACATTTTTCAGAGGCACACCAAAGACGATGAAGTTAAAGAAATAGTTTTATTTGTTAATTTTTTTTCAAGTTAGAAATTTATTTGCTGGTTGTCGCTAGCGCAAAGACATAGAAACAAAATTAAGACAGCCATATTATACTGTTAAGTGAAAAAAAGCACATTGCTAAATGGCATACTGTATAAATGATGTGATCTCATTTGTGTCAAACATACACACACATACACATATTTAGCCTAGCCTAGAAAAGGAAGTCTCTGAAAAATATGCCAAACTCTTACTTAAATTACTAGGGACCTTGACTTTCTCAGTTATGTGTTCTGTGTTATTTTATGTTTTATAATGAGTAGGTATTACCTTTAAATAAAAATGATATGAATTTAAAAGAATAAAGAATTTTAATATTTTGAATACTGTTAATTGCATTTGATAAATATTTTTAAAGATTTTTTAATCTTACTTTCTTACATAGAATATAGTTAGAAAGAAGTTTTGCAGAGATGCTTTATTGCTTCGAGTCCCTTCATGTTTATATCAAGATGGAAATTATTATGCAGGAGTTATTGATAATAAGTTTAGGAGGCCATGGATGAGAGGTATGTTTTACTTTTATTTCTCAAAAATCTATTTTAAAAGTGATGTGAGAGTTTAGCACAGTAAATTATTAAGAAAATGTGCTTTTTTTATTAATAAAACTGCATTGCATTTATTCATATCAGAACTCCAAGGGGTGCCTGGGTAGCTCAGTCAGTTTAAGCTTCTGCCTTTGGCTCGTCTCTGGTCATGATCCCAGAGTAGGACTGAGCCCTGCATTGGGCTCCTTGCTCAGCAGGGAGTCTGCTTTTCTCCCTCTGAGCTTCCCCTTCTTGTGTGTGTGCACGCTCTCTCTCTCTCTCTCTCTCTCAAATAAATAAATAAAATCTTAAAAACAAAAAAGAACTCCAAGAAGGTTAAAAAATAATATTTTTATGACAGAATTTAGGTGACAAAGTAGGGAATTGGGAAGCTTATACTAGATATGAATAGAACAAATAAAAGATATGTAGATGATGAAGTCTTAAAATATTCTAGCACTGTAAACATTTGTTGTAATAAGATCTTGCTCAACTGTAGGAGGGCTACTTTAAAATGTTATGATATACTGCATATAAAATTATTTTTAAATGTATATGTACAAAATACTATCTTCTGCTCTTATCATGTTGTGGATTTAAGAAAGAGATAGCTTCAAAGAGAAAGAAAGAAAGAAAGAAAGAGGTAGCTTCCATAGAGGAGTCAAGTCAGTTAACAACATTTCTTTAGCATGTATTATGTACCAGGTACTGTTATAGGTGCTAAGGATGGTACTAATAAGACAGAAGTAGTTCCTTCCCTCTGTGGGTTTTCAGACTAGTAAAAAGAGTGCCGCAAAAAAACCATTAAATATATAAGCTAATGTCTGGTATTAATAAATGTGTAGAGAAGACACAATAGGGTAATGTGATAAAAGATTTAGTAGGGAGCACTATTTCCTAAGATGCTTAGGGAAGGAGCTGGACATATGAGTTGGGATCTGAATGATGAGAAGGCAACAACAATAAGATAATGGGGGAGAAGGCTTTCAAGCAAATGCAGAGTTTCTGACTCTGGAATAAACTTGATGAGTTTTAGGACCAGATAATTAGGCCACCATGACAGGTTAATGAAAGGGGGATATTTAAGAAGTAGGCAGTTTACGAAAGATATAAGGCATTATAGGCCATAATACAGAGTTTATTTGCTTGTTTATATTATGGCTAATGTGGCAAATCATTGGACGGTTTTTAAAAAGGGTGTGACAATCTGATATATGCTTTAGAAAAATCATTCTGGTTGGCTGGAGTATGGAAGGGGTAGGGATTGGGAAGAGTAGAGATAAAATCAATCAGAAAGCTATCATATTGGTTCAGAATCTAGACTGCTAAGTGAATGTATACTCTACATAAATGATGATAGTGACTTGGACTAGGCTTATATTAATGGATGTGTGAGGAGTGGTTGAATTGAGATTATATTAGAGGTCCAGCCAACCATGTGAGGGTTAAAGAAAAAAACAGAACAATAAAGAATTTCTTCTAGGTTTTTGACCTGAGCAACTGGGTGGATGGCAGTGCCATTTCCTAAGATAAGGAAAGGCTCATGGGAAAGCCAGTTGGTGGCTAGAGTCAATTGCTCTGCTTTGGCCAGGTTAAAATGCCTATTTAGGCATCTAAATGAAGACATCAAGGAGGTAATTTATTATATAAATCTTGAGCACTGCTGGAGTTTCAAATTGAAGTAATCATACATGGATTGCACGTAAACTTATGGAAGTGGATGCAGTCACTGAGAGCATGAATATATATAAAGCAGAGATCCTAGGACAAAATCCTAAAACACTCCAGCAGTGAAAAGGCAGAACCAGATAAGAACACACGTGAGATAGGGACACCTGGGTGGCTCAGTCCCTTAAGCATCTGCAGTCAGCTCAGGTCATGATTTCAGGGTCCTGGGATTGAGCCCTACACTCAGCAAGGAGTCTACTTGAGATTCTTTCCTTCTCCCTCTGCCCTTTTCCCTGTCCACATGTTCATTTTCTCCCTCTCTCTAAAATAAAATAAATAAGTAAATCTTAAAAAAAAAAAAAAGAAGAAGAATGAGAAAGCCGGTTTGGTTAGGAAGGTGTACTGTTATCATCTGTCAATATTGGATGCCCATTTGAAATTTATGGTCATAATCAGAAATGAGTTCATTCAGCATGACTGGATGATCTTTTTCCAATAATTTTCAGCTGTTCTAGTGTATGTACACAAGGTAGAGAGTAGAGGTTTTCCTAAGGTAGTACAAGGGAAAGAGAGGCAAAGAAATTAAGGATCTTTATAAGATAGTGGTTATGGGACTGGCTATGGAAACTGAACTGTGTAAGAAAGGTAGTAAGGATAGTAAGGACATGAGGGAGGAGGAATATTCATTTTACAATGAACATTGTAAAAATGGAATGAATCTCAATCAGGTTGGAAGTAAGTTAAAGAATAGCTTTCATTAATCTGCTTATCTAAAGGTACAGAAGGAAAAATAAAATAAAATGTACAGAAGGAAAAATGAGTTTATCATTTTTCCTATTTCTTTTTCTCTTTTTTAGAAACAATAATAATACACTAGTAGCCAAAATTTCTTTTTAAGATTTTATTTATTTATTTGCCAGAGAGAGAGAGAGAGAGAAAGCAGGGAAAATGGCAGGCAAAGGGAGAAGCAGCTCCCTGCTGAGCAAGGAGCCCAATGTGGGATTCGATTCCAGGACCCCGGGATCATGACCAGAGCTGAGGGCAGAGGCTTAATGGACCGAGCCACTCAGGCATCCCCATTAATAGCCAAAATTTGTTCACAATATGTAAGGCACTGTCTAAACAATTTATATGTCTCATCACATTTTATCTTCACAACACTAGGAAAAGGCCATTATTATTATTCCTAATTTGTAGATAAGGAATACAGGTACAAAGGGGCTAAGAGGTTTACCCAAGCTCATACACTTAATAAGTAGCAATACAAGTATTAAAATCTAGTCAGGGTGATTCCAGAACCTGTACTTGTTACCACTAAACTTTTGTATTTTTTTCAATGACACACAGACTCAGATGTAAAGTGATTTGTTCAAGATAACAAAACTAGTTAAGATGTAACATTGGTAGTAGAATACAGGTCCTTCGACTCTTAACTTCACTCAGTTGCTTTTTCTGAGATTAGTATTTGACATGATCTCTCTCTCTCTTTTTTTTTTTTTTAAGATTTTATTTATTTATTTGACAGAGAGAGATCACAAGTAGGCAGAGAGGCAGGCAGAGAGAGAGATAGAGGAGGAAGCAGGCTCCCTGCTGAGCAGAGAGCCCAATGCGGAACTCAATCCCAGGACCCTGAGATCATGACCCGAGCCGAAGGCAGAGGCTTAACCCACTGAGCCACCCAGGTGCCCCAACATGATCTCTCTCTTAAGGAACCAAGGGTCTAATTTGAGAGACAAGTTATACCTAAAATTTTAAAATATGGCTGTGTATGGTCATGTACCGGAATGATTGCTACTCACAACTTTGGCCCTTCAAGGAGAATATATCAGAACAAGCTGAAATGGTTAATAATAAAACTTTATGAGGAATAATATGAGCTGTTGAACAGGACTATGTAGGATGGTAGTGCTGCATTAGCAAAAGAGAGGATGTAGAAATGAGGATGGTATGTTCAGGTGATGTTATTCTGACTATCGTTGAACGGTTTTGGGAGGGTGAATTGTAATAATGAGAAAGATTATTTAAATATTTGGAATCTGGTAAAATTTGGGGAAAAATTACATCTGTGAACAAATAAAGATAATACCATAATGTAAAAGGTTCATGTTTGGCTTCTTTGTATTAAGTGCAAAAGAAAATTCTAGAAGTTAATGTTCACCATTCTCCTTTCTAGTTTCAGCTGTTTCGGTGTGGGGAATGACAGATGATATTTCAGTCTTGGATCAATGGAAAGCAAGTCTCTTTGTGGAAGATTTCCTAGAGAAGTATGTATCCTTAACCTCAATTTCCCCTTTACGTCTAGGGCAGAAACAGTAAGTTCTCCAGACACCTGCAGAGAGAATATCCTTTCTTTTGTATCCTTACCAATTTTATTCTTTTATCTGAAGAAAAAGCCCTAATCTGAGTCACAAAAGAGAGGTTAATACAAGTGATTTATACCTTTTTTATTTTGGCATCAGTTATCACATATTAACCGTTCTCTATGCATTTGTGCTATAAAATGCACACAGAAAGAAAGCAGATATATTATTATGCTTTTAATCAATAAGTAAACTTCTTATAGAATGTGTCTATAGGACACTTTATATTAAAATTGGTCTTTTTTCTTGTAGTATAAATACAGATTTAAGGCTATTTTCTAACATTGTCAAAACATTATTTATTATTAGTTCAGTCATTCATCAAATATTTATTATATACAATCCTGTGTGCTGGATACAGAATACGCAACTGAATAAGATATAGGCTCTACTCAAAGAACACAAGAAAATAGGGAGTAGAGATTTATAAATAATTACAATATAATATAGAAAATATAATGACAGAGATAGGAAGACAGAGCATACATAATGCAAGGAAGGACATCTAACCCAACATTGTTAATATAGACAAAAATTAGAGATTTCAGTGCAAAGGTAAATAATTTACTCTGTTGCTTCACTTTGTATAAAGAGTGCTGATCAGACCCAGGAAGGATTTAGTTTTTCACATTTTTAGGTTTTAGTAATTTAAGTTTTCCTTAATTATTGGAAATTGCTGGAAAGAAACAAATAACCAATTTAAATATGTCTAGACTCCAAATGCAAAGAGACCCAATATACCATCTCCATCATCTAAGAATTTAAAAGTCAAGTTAGGAAGATAATATATAGACATCAAAAAAACTAACCATGTAAAAATTAAATGATAATATAAGATGACCATCAGAAATTCTATCACAAGGCATAAGGCCAATACAAAGTGCCTATTGCATGACTAAACTGAGCAATGAGGAAGCAGGAGGGTGTAGTGAAAAGAGCTCTGCTCCATGAGTTTAAAAAAAAATGTGGATTTCAAGTCTTGATTTGAAAAGTTAAGTACTACCTACTTGACAAGTCATCTTCTCTCTCTGACCCTCACCCTCTATCAGTATAATAACACTGGATCAGTGCTTCTCAAACTTTAATGTGCATATGAATCACCTGATGATCTTACTAAAAATGGAGATCTCAATTCAGTTGGTCTGTGTTGGGGCCTGTCATTCTGCACTTTTTTTTTTTTTTTTTAAGTAGACTCCATGCCCAGCATGGAAACCAACACAGAGCTTGAACTCATGATCCTGAGATCAAGACCTGAGCTGAGATCAAGAGTTGGATGCTTAAGTGACTGAGCCAGCCAGGCATCCCAGATTCTGCCCTTCTAATGTGCTCTTAGGTATGATGGTACTGCAGGCCCAAGAACCTACTTAAAGTAACAAGAAACAAGATGATCTCTAAGATCTCTTCACTTCACGAGTTAGATGGTAAGGCTGTGCATTTATAAGCAGGAGAGATCAGCTTTACAAAGAAGTAGGAATTGAGCTTGAGCTGGACATTAAAAGAGAAACTAACTTGAGAGAAAGGTTTTCGGGCAAAGGAAACAGCAAGTCTGAAGGCATAGAGCAAGAATACACGATAAATCCACAGTGAAAGCAGTTATCTAGCTACTTTGACTCAACCAAGATTCATGTATGGGAGAAATGGGAGGCGCTGAAAGAATGGATGCCCTATCTTATCTCACCTTCCTTTCATTTTGCGGTACCAAGATGGAGTCCATGGCAAAGAAGGTGGACCTGTGGCATCACCTAGAATCACATTTACATTTCTCAGCCTCTCTGTAACTACACATGGCCATGTGACTCATTTCTTCCCAATAGAATATTAAGCAGAAGAGGCTTATGCAATTTCTGGGGAATGTCCTTAAAAGGAAGCAGCATGGGGGCACCTGGGTGGCTCAGTGGGTTAAAGCCTCTGCCTTCAGACTCAGGTCATGATCCCAAGGTCCTGGGATCGAGCCCCGCATCAGTCTCTCTGCTCAGCAGGGAGCCTGCTTCCCGCTCTCTGCCTACTTGTGATCTTTCTTTCTGTCAAATAAATAAATAAAATATTTAAGGAAAAAAAAAAAAGGAAGCAGCATGTTTTTCTCCTTCACTTTTCTCCTTCCCAGTGCTGGAATAGATATGTAATGACTGATTCCAGCAACCAACTTCGGCTGTATCGGCAAGAACTAAACGTAGGAGTGAAAGAGTAGAACAAAAGGAGATTTAGTCTCTAACACATTGCAAACTGTTTTACCAGCCATGAACTTCTAAACTCCACTTTTTATGTGTGTAAGCCATTAATTTCAATTTTGTCTCATACAGTAAGATTTAATTTTTTTAAAAGATTTTATTTATTTATTTGACAGACAGAGATCACAAGTAGGCAGAGAGGCAGGCGGAGAGAGAGGAGGAAGCAGAATCCCTGCGGAGCAGAGAGCCCGATGCGGGGCTCAATCCCGGGGCTCCATCCCAGGACTCTGAGATCATGACCTGAGCCAAAGGCAGAGGCTTTAGCCAACTGAGCCACCCAGGTGCCCCAGTAAGATTTAATTTTTAATAGACTTTATTTTTAGGGAAGTTTTGGTTCACAGAAGAATTGAGCAGAAAGTATAGATACTTCCCATCTTAAATTTAATTTTAAATAATTCTGCTACTGCAGTTTTGTTACCTATGGATTTTAGAAATAAACATTCTGATCATTAGCACTACCTAGAGTTTCTAAATCTTGCTTTCCCTCTTTTTCTCCTCTCTCTTTGTTCCTTGTTTCTATTTTTGTTACTTCTTTTTTTTTTTTTAAAGATTTTATTTATTTATTTGACAGACAGAGATCACGAGTAGGCAGAGAAGCAGGCAGAGAGAGAGGAGGAAGCAGGCTCCCGGCTGAGCAGAGAGCCTGATGTGGGGCTCGATCCCAGAACCCTGGGATCATGACCTGAGCCTAAGGCAGAGGCTTTAACCCACTGAGCCACCCAGGAGCCCCTATTTTTGTTACTTCTTAATATTGATTCTAAGGCCTCAATTATTTTACTAACTTGTGGTATACTGTATTTTAACATATTTGGGCATTTTCACTGTGTGTTCCTAAGAAATCTTACGTTCTGTGAAATTACACACTAAAAATAACAGGACATACAAGAAAATTGGCTTCTGTCATCAAAGCTGCAACTTGCAACAGAGCACTAACAAAAATAATAACTATTTTAATTTTTAGAAAACTACCAGAAAAAAGTATAGTTTAAAAGACATATTAAGCTCCTAATAAATACATACATATTACAGTAAATATAGCACTTTTTTTAGCCCAAGAGACAGAATAAAGAAGGGGTTGAGGCTATCAAATCATGGTGACAAGGGCAAAATGCAAAAACATCAGGGAGAACCATGCAATAAACTTCCTAGCTTCCAGGAGAGAGCAATGGCCAAGTAAAGTAAGAGGAAGAATGTATTACAATATCCCCTAGTCCTCTGTGGCTTTCTGTATTCACATGAATGCAATTGAACACAGGGCAATGCACATATATTTATTTCCTGTATACCTCATAACTATTATGTGAGGTGGGTGTTACCATCTAAATATTACATATGAGAAACTGTGACTCAGATTAAATAACTTGCCCACAGTCAATAGTTGGAACTATTCAAATGTTCAAACCCTAGTCTGTTCAACTTCAAACCCTATACTCTTTGGTTTGGTTAGGTTTATATTAAAGCTTTACTGAAAGATGATTCATATCTGTATAATTCACCTATTTAAAATGTCTAATTCAGTGGTTTTTAGTATATTCACAGAGTTGTACAATTATCACCACAATCAATTTTGGTGCATTTTCATCAAAACAAAAAGAAATCTGAAACTTATTAGGATTCACTCCCCATCTTTCCTCCTCCTCTGGATAGGCGACTACTGGTCTACTTTCTGCCTCTCTAGACTTGCCTATTCTGGACATTTCATAAAAATGGAATCAAAGTAAAATCATACACCAATTCCAACATAGGGAGAAGGTGTAGTTTTCCCAAACCAACAAGCAGTGCTCTGATACCAGCTGGGTAATCCTACAATTCAACTCAATTTTACCCAGAGATAGTGTTAGATACCACATGTCAAGGGCTCAGTGGTACAAGACTGCCTCCCCTCCCCCGCCACTTCAGACTCCACTTGCAAGTCCAGGTTATAACCTGTACTTCTGACCCATAGGCTATAAATTGGAGGTTCTAGCAGCTTCATCCTTGGATTTGATCAGTTTGCTAGACAGACTCACAGAATTCATAGAAACATTTTACTTACTGGATTACCAGATTATTATAAAAGGATATAATTCAGGAACAGCCAGCTGGGAGAGATGCGTAGAACAAGGTAGGGGAAAGGGGCACAGAGTTTCCATACCCTTTCCCTTCACACCACTCTCCCAGCATTTCTGTGTGTTCACCAACCCAGAAGCTCTCTGAACCCCATCCTTTTGTGTTCTTACGAAGCCTTCATTTCATACATGTGGTTGATTTGATCATAGGCCACTGGCAGTTGATTCAACCTCCAGCCCTTCTCCCTGGAGGTCAGAGGGATGGGGCTGAAATTCCAGCCCTCTGATCACATGGTTGTTTCTCTAGGCAACAGAGAGGTTTTCCAAAAGTTACCTCATTAACATAACCAAATATACCTTTATCTTTCTCAATACTTAGGAAATTCCAAGGCCTTTAGGAGTTCTTTGCCAGAAATGGAGATGAAGACCAAATATACATTTCTTATTATAAAACACAATATGACACATACAATATGGGATCTTTTGTGACTGGCTTCTTTCATTTAGTATAATGTATTCAAGGTTCATCTATGTTGTGCATGTATCAGTACCTTTTTTTTTTTTTTAAAGATTTTATTTATTTATTTATTTGTCAGAGAGAGAGAGAGAGAGAGCGAGCACAGGCAGACAGAATGGCAGGCAGAGGCAGAGGGAGAAGCAGGCTCCCCGCCAAGCAAGGAGCCCGATGTGGGACTCGATCCCAGGACGCTGGGATCATGACCTGAGCCGAAGGCAGCTGCTTAACCAACTGAGCCACCCAGGCATCCCATCAGTACCTTTTTTTTAAAAGCCAAATAATATTCCATTGTCTAGACATAGCACATTTTATTTATTCATTCATTAGTTGATGGACATTTAGATTGCTTTCAGTTTTTAGCTAGTATGAGTAATGCTGCTATAAATATTTGAGGATAAATTTTTTTGCATACATGATTTCATTTCTCTAGTAGTAGAATTACTAGATCATACAGTAACTCTGTGCTTAACTATACAAAGAATTGCTAAATTATTTTCCAGACAGTTGTACCATCTTATATTTCTACCAGCAGTGTATGAAGATTACAATTTATTTACATCCTTGCAACACTTGTTATTATCTGTCTTTTTTATTATAGTCATCCGAATGGATGGCTTATTGTATGTCATTGTAATTTTGATTTGCATTTCCCTCATGGCTAATGATATTTAGCATCTTTTTATATAATTATTGGCCTTTAGTTTATCTTCTTCAAGAAAATGTTTATTTAAATTCCTCACCCATTTTCCAGTTGGTTTATGTGTCTTTTTAAAATTGAATTAAGAGTTTTGCTACACAGTCTAGATACAAGTCCATTATCAGACACATGATTTATAAATATTTTCTTCTGTGGATTATCTTTCCACTTTCTTAATAGTATCCGTTGAAGCACAGTTTTTAAAAATTTTTGATGAAGTCCAATTATCTATTTTTTCTTTTGTCACTTGGGCTCTTGGCATCATATCTGAGAAAGCTTTGCCTAATCCAAAGTCATGAGGATTTACTCCTCTATTTTCTTCTAATAGTTTTCCTGGAACTTTTGTTTTAAGACACAAATCAGATCATGAACTATCTCTGTTATAACCTACTGACAGTATCCCGTTGCACATAGAATAAAACTCAAAGTTCTTACCAGGTGCTGTAATACCCAGCATGATCTGGTCCATTCCTACCTATCTAACCTTACTCTTTTCCAGTAACCCTAACGTTTGTGCCTTTCTGAGACTATACCAACCCTGTTCCCACACTTTAGGCCTTTGTATGTGTCACTTCCTACCATTATTCAGGTAGCTGTGGAATTATCAGCTCCTCAGGTGGCCGCTCTCCAAAATAGACCTCCTACCAATCTCTGGCTGTTACTTGATGTCCTAATATTTTATTTTCTTTTATTCATAACAGTTCTTTGCCACCTGACATTATGTTACTTGTTTATTTGTCTATCATTCTGTTAACGGGTTAGCTTCATGGGGGTAAGAACTTTGTTTTGCTCTATCACTCCATTCTTAGTGCCTAAAATGGTATTAGCACACTGTGGACACTCAGTAAATATTTCATTTAAGTTAAGGAATTAGTGAATTGGAGTGGATGAACTTACCCAGATAGAATGATATGGAAAGAAAGCAGACAGACACCATCCAGATTGGAATCCTGAGAAATATCAGTACTACAGGTTAGGTGAAAAGGAGACACCAGTGAACAAAGAATGGATAATACTGGACTCAGAAGTAGGAAGAGATCCAGGAATTACTTTTCTTCATAGAACCTTTATATCTAGAGGAAGAGAATTGACTGGTTTTTCTCAAAACTCTAATACCAAGGAGTATTACAAAGTACTGACCCTATTAGTAACATTTAAAACAAAAAAAGATAATTGTGGTATAAATGCTAAATTTAGAAGTCTATAAAGATTCCCATAGAAATCAATGGTCTCATGAGTAATATGGACCTGGGTAAGTTGAAATATCTTTTCTTGTGCCTTGTATTTTCTTAAAGAGTCAGGGAGAAACTTTACAGATTTTTCTATATATGATTTGAAGATACGGTGTATTCATTTTTCTCCAATTACATAGGGAATGATACTGACTTTGGTTCTCTCAGTCTGGGTAGGGAATTATTGAGACTAAAATATTTTAGGATATCAGGGGGAAAGGGGTATATTAGAATGTGTAGTTAAATTGCCAATAATATATTTGTCAGAAAATTCATTAAAAAGTTCTCTTATAAAAGTCCAAATCTCCCAATATTGCAGACAGTGGCAGATATACCTGGATGAATCAAGAAATAGGCAAGATATGGCAAGGTCAAGGGAGCCCCCCCCCCAAAAAAAAAGTGCCCCCAAACAGCAGGAAGTTGTTAACACTCTAAGCTTGTAGGAACAAGGGGACTGAGCAGTAATCAGCCCAGTAAGAACTACGACTAGCTGTAGGAGAGGGCCTGTCTGACAAGAGATGTAACTCTTGGTAGAATGCAGCCACTTCTAAACTGTGGCCCAGGAGAGAAGCATTTGAGAACAATAATATCCTAACTTGTCTCTCTTCCCAACTTTGATCTCCTGACAATGCTTCTGATTGGCCGAACCCAACCAGAAGCCAGAGAGCAAGGGAGCTTAGTTCAGTCATGGAGATGCACCTCCCAGGATGAAAAACAGAATATAAAAGGTTGGATAATGATCTGGGAAAACAAACATTGAACATCCAATGAAGGGCAACTTGGCAGTACATGGCAAAGTCTAAAAATCTGTATACATTTAATCTGATCATTTCCATTTTTAGGAAACCTATTTTGGAAAACAGACAACTGCACAAAGATGTTACTTGCATTATAATAGCAGATGATTACAACAAATTTAAATTGCCAACAATAAGGAACTCTTTCAGTAAATTATGGCCTACCAATGCAGTGGGATCCTGTTTATCAAAAATGAAGTGAATGTACATTGATTGACATATAAATGTGGTCATGTTTTATTGTTTACCAGAAAAGGCAGGTTTCAAAATACTATGTACATGAATCTACTTTTGTTTAAAAATATCTAAAAGTAATTGAGAAAATACATAGTTTTTTAATTCATCTCTTGATTGTTGGGGCAATGGGTAACTTTTCTCTGTATCTGTTGGAATTTTGTAATTTTTCTACAAAGAACATATACTATTTATAAAGATGTTTTAAAATAGGACATACATAAAATCAATAATTTTATAATGTCATAGAAAAACAATTACAGGAATGGTGACTCAGATTGACTATGAGTTTGAGGAAGTTGTTCCAAGTTCAAACCCAAACTCCCAAACTGAAGTAGAGGAAGCCAGTTTATATACCCATAAGGACTACACTGAAGTCTTTACACTTGTCAGCGGTTTAGAAAAATGTCCAGGACTTCAAACACAGAATGAAGGTAAAACATTTATTATTTCTATTGTTATAAAACATTTCTTACTAACATGCAGATTTTCATTTTTGTGTTTTTCTGTTTATTGTACTTTTAATTTTTCTATTTTATTAAAGGTATCCACCTGCAAAATTATAACTCTATGCTTTGCCACATTAGGGAAATACTTTCTCTTTTATATTAGTCCCTTTTCTGTGAATTTGGTTGTTTGGGGGGTCTTATGTGTGTTGGGCATCAAAATAGCGTCAGGGATTTGATCATAGTGTGCCCACACCATATTACCATAACCAGACCTGATGACAGAGCAATTTGGTATAACATTAAAACAGTAGATTACTAAATGATGCTGTATTTTATTTTCAAAATATGCTCAAGATTTTGAATCTCATCTGATTGACATGAAACCATAGTTCAAAGTAGAGATGGAGTCGCTGTAGTATTAGATCAGGAAATTCACCTCATTTTTACAAATTTACCATAATTAATAATTAAAGTACATTTTATCCAAGCTGTATTCCAAATTTTCATCCCTACTAGAGGGTGCTGAATCCTTCCAATTGTATAAAAACTTGCTGAGAACTACCTTTCTTGTATGTAGAATAGCCTGTTCCCTTTTAAAATAAAGTTTAAGGGGCGCCTGGGTGGCTCAGTGGGTTAAGCCGCTGCCTTCAGCTCAGGTCATGATCTCAGGGTCCTGGGCTCCCTGGGCTCCCTGCTCAGCGGGGGGCCTGCTTCCCTCTCTCTCTCTCTCTGACTGCCTCCTCTGCCTACTTGTAATCTCTCTGTCAAATAAATAAATAAAATCTGTTAAAAAAAAATAAAATAAAGTTTAAGATATACTATATCTTGAGCTACAATAATCTAATAGATGTAGAATATATAATAATTTGGTTCTTAAACGGCTATTTTTATGTAATTCCATAAATTGTGTTTAAATTTTTAGTGTTGGCAGATAGGTGTGTGATGATACAGAGTTAGATCCCTCTCAGTTTGAAATGAGAGTGAGAGATTGCGTTAAAGAATAAACTTGAACAGTACCTGGAGGGCTCAGTTGGTTAAGCATCTGACTCGATTTCAGATCAGGTCATGATCTTAGGATTGAGATGGAGCCCCAGGTCTGGCTCTGCACTCAGTGGGGAGTCTGCTTCTCTCCCTCTTCCTCCCCCTCTGCCCCTCCCCCTGCTCACTCATGCACACATTCTCTTTCTCTCTAAAAATAAAATCTTTAAGAAAAAATAAAGACTAAACTTGAGAACATGTTGTATTAGGAATAATCTGAATTTGATCATAGTCCAAATGAAAATTTGATCATAGTCCAAATCCACTCAACGATTTGGAAGATTTGATTGTAGTCCAAATCTACTTTTAAAATGTGGTACAATTTGAAGACAGTTGCTAAAAATTTTATAGTTTTCAATTTCCTTCTTTAATTTTTTTAACTTACTCTTCTAATTTCTTATAAAAATGTTTGTGGGGATCAACTAATATATTTGTACATGTAATAAGATAGTTTATAAAAAATAAAAGATATCCAAACATAGCTATTATTAATGTGGAAAACTGCAAGCTGTTATTGGTAAACTTTATAATATCTATCATCAACCAGAGTCAGAAGCTTCCTTAACTACTATTCATTGAATGAGAATATACTTGGGTTTCTGAAATACATATAAATTGTCCGTATCCTGTATTGCCTGAGGGGTCCTCCGTCATTAAACATCATTCTATAAATTTAGGTTTGCAATTTCATTTATTGTCTTTGCAGCTATATTGATTGCTGTCAGATTTATAGATACTTTGGTCTCAGTGTCTAAATCCAAAGGAATGCATTACATTTTGAAATTCAATTGATACTGTAAATTTTCTGTCTTAACAGAAATTTAGTCAATTGCTAAATTATAACTTAATTTAAAAACCTATATTTCTTTAAGACATAAAAGCAGTGAGGGACACCTGGGTGGCTCAGTGGGTTAAGCCTCTGCTTTCGGCTCAGGTCATGATCTCAGGGTCCTGGGATTGAGTCCTGCATCGGGCTCTCTGCTCGGTAGGGAGCCTGCTTCCCCTTCTCTCTCTCTGCCTGCCTCTCTGCCTACTTGTGATTTCAGTCTGTCAAATAAATAAATAAAATCTTAAAAAAAAAAAAAAAGACATAAAAGCAGTGAGTAATTTTCTTTTATTGTGGGGCATCTGGGTGGCTCAGTTGGTTGAGTGTCTGCCTTTAGCTCAGGTTATGATCTTGTAGTCCTGGGATTGAACCCCATATCAGGCTCCCTGCTCAGTGGGGACTCTGCTGCTGCTTCTCCCTCTGCTCCTCCCCCAGTGCTTATGCTCTCTCTTTTGCTCACTCACTCTCAAATAAATTAATCAAATATTTTATTGTTTATTGGTTTGTTGATATGTACTAATATTTCTACAACATTATTTATTTTAATAAATGTAATTATTTTATGAATATCCATTCAGATGTCCAAGGAATATATAAGCAAATGCAAATGTAGCTTTATTTTTTATTTTTAATTTAATTTTTATTATTTTTTAAAGATTTATTTATTTATTTCAGAGAGAGAGAGGAGAGGGGCAGAGAGAGTCTTAAGCAGACTCTGTGCTAAGCACAGAACCCGTCGCAAGGCTCGATCTCACCACCCTGAGATTATGAAATGAGCTGAAATGAGTTGGATGTTTAACTGATTGCACCACCCAGGCATCCCTTTATTTTTAATTTAGAAAAAAATTGTACATGCAGACAGTTTAGAGTATCAAATAGTTACTCAAAATTTATAATAAAAAGTAACAGTCCTCTGACTTCAACTACCCATATTTTTTCCTTTTTTAAAATATATTTAAGATGTGCAATGTGGTGGCTTAACACATGTATATATTGTAAAAGATTTCCATCATTGAATTAACACATACATCACTTCACATATTTACCTTCTTTTTTTCTTTTTCTTTTTGGTAAGAACACTTAAGTTCTATTTTCTTAGCAAATTTCAGTTATACACTGCAGTGGTATCAACTGTAATTACCATTTTATACATCAGATCCTCATACTTTATTTACCTTATAACTGGAGGTTTGTACTGTTTTACCAGACTCTCCCTATTCCTCACAGCCCAGCCTCAGTCTCTGGCAACCACCATTCTACTCTGTTTACATTGGTTCCACTTGTTTTTTTTTGTTTTGTTTTGTTTTGTTTTGTTTTGTTTTTTAAAGATTCCACGTAGAGGCACCTGGGTAGCTCAGTGGGTTAAGCCTCTGCCTTCAGCTCAGGTCATGATCCCAGGGTCCTGGGATTAAGTCCTGCATTGGGCTCTCTGCTCAGCAGGGAGCCTGCTTCCACCTCTCTCTCTGCCCACTTGTGATCTATGCCTGTCAAATAAATAAATAAGCAATAAAAATAAAAAATAAAGATTCCACTAACAAGTAATACCATGTAGTATTTGTTGTTCTCTGCCTGGTTTATTTCACTTAGCAAAATGTCCTCCATGTTCACCCATATTGCAAATGGCAGGATTTCCTTCTTTTTTAAGGTTGAACAATATTTTCTTGTGTCTGTGTGTATAAAACCTATTTTCCTTAAAACACATTTTTTTAATCCATTTATCTGTGGACAGACACTTACATGGTTTCCACACCTTGGCTGTTGTGAGTACTGCTGCAGTGGGAGTACAGATATCTCTTTAAGACAGTGATTTTGTTGACCATCTGTTTCTTCCTTCACAACATTTACATCTTTTGTGTGTGTGTATTATTGTGCTTACTAGGACCTACAGTACATTGTTTAATAGAAGCAGTGATGTTGTCATCCTTGTCTTGTTCTTGACACTAAAAGAAATACTTTAAAATTTCATCATTAAAAATGATGTAGGAGCACCTGGGTGGTTCAGTGGGTTAAAGCCTCTGCCTTCGGCTCACTCAGGTCATGATCCCAGGGTCCTGGGATCGAGCCCCGCATCGGGCTCCCTGCATGGCGGGGAGTCTGCCTCCCTTCCTCTCTCTCTGCCTGTCTCTCTGCCTACTTGTGATCTCTGTCAAATAAATAAATAAAATCTTTAAAAAAAAAAAAGATGTAAATATCATTTCAGTGGTGAATCATTTACAATGTTTATTTCAGTTTCAGTGGTTAAATGTTGGAAGAATTTATTGGGTTGAGGAAGCTCTTTCTGTTCGGAGTTTACTAAGAGTTTCTGATCATGAATGAGGACTGAATTTTATTAATGTTTTCCACATCTATTATGATATCTACATCCTAAATATGTAGAATGTCCCTTTATTAAAAACTTCCAAGCCTATAATCTAAACATAAATCATTTTGCTATTGGGATCATATTGTGTCTGCATTATATTATTTTTAAATGTTAATATTATCTTGGGAACATCTCACCATACAGTTATCTTCAAAAGGATGGCTTTTAGTGACTGCAGTTTTATGTATGTATCATTCATTCCCAATTTGAGAACACTAATGTTGTTTTTAATTTCAAGTATGGACATAAATGTATGCTTCCATTTCCACTTCTTTCCATAGAGTAAATTCATGGAAATGGAATTATTTGATATAAGTATTTCTTTTAGCTATACGTCCACAAGCATGATATGAGAATATCCTGTTCATACCAGCCTTATCATCATCGGATATATTACTACTGATATTGTATTAATACATTTTAACCAATGTGATGGACAAAAATTATGTTTTTACTTAGACTTTAAAAATTATTCATGTTTGGTATGCTTGGGTAGCTCAGTTGGTTGAGCATCCTACTCTTGATTTTGGCATGGCTCATGATCTCAAGGTCATGGGACCAAGTCCTGAATGGGGCTCCATGCTGGGTAAGGGAGTCTGTAAAAGATTCTCTCCCTCTCCCTCTCTCTCCCTCTCTGCCCTCCCCACCTCCTTGCACTTGTGTGCCCTTGCACACACTCTTTGTCTCTAAGTAATAAATAAAACTTATAAAAAATCATTCATGTTTACTGGCCATTTGCAACTTTTTATATTGTGAAGTGATTCTTTTATGTATTTTTCTATTCCTATATTTTATCTGTGTATGTCAAAGAGATATTTAATACATCTTTAAAACTAACCAGTCCCATCAGCGTTTCCCTTTAAGGTTTCTTTCATTGCTTTTATACTTAGAAAATTCTTCCTTAAATCAGATGAATATTTATTCATATTTTCTTTAAGGTTTTCCTTAAGATTTTGGTATATGTTTAAAAGTAAGGGTTAAAAGTATTTTTTTCCAAATGTTTTGGCAGTCATCTCAGTATCACTTATGGAATAGTCTTTCCTCTCTCTACTGATTGGAAAAACCACTTAGAAAATATGCTAAATCCTTGCCCACATTAGAGTGTGTCTGGATTTTTTATTTTGTTCTATTGATTTGTATATTATTGTATCATACAGTTCTATTTAATATGTAATTATAACATTATTAATAGTCTCTTCTCTTTTTGTTGTTATTTTTTCCTAGACTCACATTCTTATTCTTCTAGATTTACTTTCAGTAAATCAGTTTTTCAAGTTCCAAAACAGATCTCTTGAGAAATTGAAAAGTCATTGTGTTTTTTCACTTTTTTTTTTTAACCATAGTCTTATAGCCAGGAAATGGTTTATCTTGCCTTTTATTCAACTTTTTAAGTGGTTCTCATTAAAATTTTGTGGTTTCCTGCATATACTCTCTGTACATTTTATTATGTTGATTCCTTGATGTTTGTATACTTGTTACCATTATGAATGAATTTTCCATTAATTTGGGGTTTTTTTATGTATGCCTGAAAACCAGAGATTTTACAGTTCTTTCTTATCAGACACCTGGTGAACTCCTTTTTTTGTTTTCATTTAGTTAGCTTGGGTTTTCTAGGTAGACAGAGCAATCTTCCGCCAAGTAGACCTCTATTTTCTGTTTCTTTTCATAGTTAACTAGCTAAAATTTTGCTTCTTTGTGACAATTTAACACTTCTTTACAATAAAGGAAAACCGTCTCCTCATATTTGTGTTGGTAATAGAAGAGCTGTAATAAAGTAAGAACACCAGGAAATGTATAACCTTAAGAATATAAGGAAGTAGCACCCTTCTAAAACAACTTTTGTGTAATGACAAAAAACATTGGTTGTGGTGTGATGCTGCCCTCAAGCGGATCTGTCAAAAATGGGTGGTTGGAAAACAAGATCTCATAACTGATAGATGTTTCTTTTCTTGGACTTGCAGAAATACTAGGATGAGCCTGTACGAATGGAAGATGGAGAGAGGGATATAAGTAAATGCTGTTTGGGTTTTTACTATTAACAGGACTTCATTAATACTTTCAGAGTGGATGTGCAAATGAACCATCTTTAATTATCTCACCTAAGCCCTGTTTAGATATGGAATTGATTTGCTTGTTCTCTTTGGTATATAAAAGAACTATGCCAAATTTGTCATGGGAAGCTCTTAGCTACAAAATTATCAGGAACTTAGCAGGTTCAGATAAGTAATCTCTTAAGAGGCTTGTTAATGGAACAATTTCTCTTTTGGCATTTCAAGGCAGCACTAGGCAAAGGGGTGTTTCGTGGTTGCTTGTTTAACACCACATATTTACTAAACATATGCATTCCAATGATTGGTCACTGGAGACATCATTCCAAGCTATTCCTCTTTCATGTTATTCTAAATTTACCTAACTGAAAGGTCACTACCCAGAACAAGAAATTGTTGCTCTCTCTTCAATGTAGCTTTTGCTTTGGTGAGTCTGGATTTCTGAACATTGCTTCATCTGAACTTATATTTTCCTTTTCTTCTTTCCACTCAGGAGCTTATTAAAGAATGGGAGCAGGTTTTATGATCCCGTCCTTGGCTCAGAAACTGTTAAAGCACTGACACAGTTGGCTAAGATTTTAAAGTAACCTGAATATAGTAGGTTGGGGATAGGAGAAATTTATTCCAGCAATTAACTGTTAGCAGTAGTGTTTCCTAATATATAAAATGTATCACACTTCTCAAGTAGATATTTTGCCATGTAACCTTCATTGTAATCAATTTTACAGTGAAAATTTTATTTCTATTTTACAATAGAAAGTTTTTTTTTTTGTCATTGCAATGATAGAGTCCAAATTGATCTCATTTATAGGTTTTGTAGACCATCTCTTCCCCTACATCTCAGATCCTCTAGGGATGAACTAGAGACTTTAAGAGGTAAAATGATGCAGAGAAAAGACTAGGTTCCACAAAAGTCAAATGCTTTTATTTCTTTACGACTTTGCTTAGGCTACCCCTGACTGTTTTCAAGCATAAGGCTGCAAGATATTTTCCTCCATTGATTAAACTAATCTTCGTTTAAAAGAAAATGAACATTACAACTCTTTCAGGATATTTGGTTACTAGTCAGTGTACTAAGTAATAACTAAAATTTATTGAGCTTTTAGCTATATGCTAATCCTATGCTGTATGCTTTATATGCACAATACAATGAAGAACTAAAAAATTAAAGTGTGTGTGAATGTCTGACTGCAGTTACTATCTAGATCCCTTTGTATAACTTATAGATTTTTTTCTTATTCCTTTACATTTCTTTTTTCAGATTTGTTTATTGATGAAGAAATAATTTTTTTAAATAACTTGACGACCTATAAAAGTCAGCTACCAACTTTGCATACTTTGTTGAGTAGGCTAAAACTATTTTTGGTAAAGGACCCCATTTTAGATTTCAAAGGACAGATCTTCACAGAAGCTAATTTCTTCAGGTATTTAATTGATGTAAATGTTTTTAAAGGAGAAAATATTCTTTGTATGCTCATAAGTCTAGACATTATCAATAATAAATTATCATTGCTTTACATCGATTCTAGTTTTAATCATTGTATTAAATTATTATTTAATTTGATTGGCTACATTTGGTATGAACCTTGCTTTTAGTTAAACACTAATTTTTTGTTGTTGTTGTTAAGGGAATGTTCCTCTTTTCAAGAAGATTTGAAAGGTCTAGTGAAAGAAGATTTTTACATGGATAAAGAGAACTTTTGTCAGGAAAAGCTAGAAGATACAGTAGGTTTACATAAAACTGTAATACTTTCTTAAAGTAATATTTTTATAAAAGTTAGTAAAGCACACTTTTATAATTTTAGTAATATACATTGACCATCTACTAATGTCAAGTTAAAAAAGATTTGGTAATGGGTTAAATATATCAATAATGAAGTCAAATTTACTTTAAGATAGTGGTTCTAAACCTTGTCTACATTGGTATTACTTGGAGAGTTTTAATAAAATACTGAAGCCTGGGTCCTACTCAGATGTATTCTGATTGAACTGGTCTGTTGTGCAGCCCAGGTATAGTGAATTTAAAAATGTCTCTTAATGATATTAATAAATCTACCTCGTGTAGGACATTAAGTGGTCATATTCTAGTTTAAAAATTGGAAACCAGAGCTAAAAATGTTGATTTTGATCTGTGAGGTATACACAAAATAGGACTTACACTATGTAAGAAAAGGGATCTCATTGAGGTAGTAAGAGTAAAGATGTTCTGAGACTTCATTTTAGGTGCTGCCAGTGGTTAATAAAGAACGTAGCATCTTTGCATATTAAAGATCAAATGTCTCAAAGGCAACCCCTCTTTTTTAGTGTACAGTTCCAAAGCACACAAAATTGTTATTGTGATATTAATATGTAAAGAATTTTAGCAGTTGAGAGTGCAAATAACTTTTTGCAATTTAACAAACTCGAAAACCTAGGCCCACATAGAATAGATGCATTTACAGAGTTACTTTAAACATTTTTTTTTGAGACAACTGAAAATATTGTGAATGTGAAAATATTTCACATTTGGGGTTTTTCTTAAAACATTCAAAGGAGATAGATATAGCTGTAGATACAGATATAGATATCTTAGGCATTTAAAGAGTCTCCTTACAGTTAAAAACTTTAACACACATGGTAAAAAAACAAAAATCACACACACGGTGACAATATTAATTCACTTATTATCCCCTTTTCCCTCGTCCCCCTCTCCCTCACCCATTAGTTCTGAGAATTGTGCACATAGAATCTAGTTCTTTAGGAATGAAAGAGAAACATATTTAATGGAGTGTAGTGAAGATCCATTTCATTTCATCTACCCTTTTTATTTCTCCCCATTCACCATCTCTCATCTACTGCAGTGATTATTTTTAATTCAGAAGTTTAAAAATTTGTTATTAGCCCAAAAGAAGATATTTCTGCATGCAGGATACTGTACATCACAAGTATAATCAGTGGCCATAAAGGATGTTACTCAGAACATTGCTTGTAATCTATTTTTTGGCTTCTATACCTTTTTTTTTAAAAGATTTTATTTATTTATTTGACAGACAGAGATCACGAGTAGGCAGAGAGGCAGGCAGAGAAAGGGGGAAAGCAGGCTCCCCACTGAGCAGAGAGCCCGAAGCAGGGCTCGATCCCAGGACCCTGAGATCATGACCTGAGCAGAAGGCAGAGGCTTTAACCCACTGAGCCACCCAGGCGCAGTTTTCATAACATTAAAAATTTTGAATGTTTAATTTAAAATTTGATACAACAATTCAACAAATTACATATGTTTATGAGTCTAGAAATATTTATCTGGAAAACCTCCCTAAAAGCCTTTTTTACTTATACTATTTCAGCCATCAAGTTTGCCTGAGTGTGAATTCTTAATACCTACAAGCCTCAAACAAGAAGTTGATATTCTATCACTCTCCGAACTGAAGGAATCCTTAAACTTAGTGCCAGAAATAATAAATTATGCAGATGAAAATGAAAAGCTTTTCAAAATAGGTGAGAACAAATTTAAAAATCTATTGCCTATGAAATCCACTTAATAATGTTTGTTATGAAAATATATTGATTAAACTATTTTCTGAACCTCCAGATTTTTAAGAACTGCTCTTTAGCTTACATGGTGAAATCTCAGAATTATTGTTGGTGAGACTCTTTTCTCATTGTCTTTCTCTTTATATCTTAACATATATATATGTATATATAAGTTAACTTACATAACTACAGACTTAAAATGTCTCTGAAATTAACCAATTCAAGTTAATTACATAAATAAAGCTAAATCACATATGACTTTACTAATTTTTTTAAGTTGTTTTCTTATAAACAGTGACAAAGCACTAACAACTTCTATGCTGACTTTCATTAGATGTGCAGAAACTTAGAGTAGGGTGTTGATTCATGGAGTCAGATGACTGGGAGAATCATAACCTAAAATATAAATGCTTCCCAGTTAGACTTAGTAAATATTGTTGAATTCTTTCTAATGACAATTTAACCCCAAGTATTTAACTACCCTTTTATAAATTCCAGTTGAAATCATCAAAAATAATAATATTAGGGAGAAGTGAAGGGAGATTTATGATATCCATTGAAAACAGGGGAACGGACAACATTCCAAAGAAAACTGTTACAGAAGTACTTATGCTGATAGTAGACTTTCTTATTTTTCAGATCTTACTACTAAGCATGGAATTGACATTGAGGATATAAAATGCAGCTCCACAGAGATTTTGGCCATTCAAAACCATTTGAATGGTTTTGAACCAGAGTATAGTGAACCAGGTAGAAATTTTGGATAGATCATTGAGTTTATCAGCAGTTACCTATATCTGATGTGAAAGTACAGTATAGTCACATGTGAGGTCTACTGTGAGACAGTTTTCATGTTTAAAATTTGATTATTGCAATCCAGCTTGTCATTTTTTTTTCTTATCTGTCTATTTACATTTGTTACTGTCATTAACTCATCCTTCTGGCATCGAAACTGAATAATGTACAGAGAGTTACAAAGATTGAGGAAGAGGAATGGAAGGAATAGCATTAATATTAAAATCAGAAATCTGATGATATTATAGTTCAGTAAATAAAATTTTATATTTAATTTCAGTATTAGTAATCTTGTTGACTCTTGTTATACTTCTGTAAATTTAACTTTTTAATCACCCAAAGCAATCCTATCATTAATGTTACTATTATTATCATACCAGATTTGGACTCTGAATCATCTTTTGTTCCACTTTAATGCCAACTTGTATTGCTTCTTAACATGTTGATGATACTATTATTTAGTTACATGTATTTTATTTATTATTTATTTATTTATTTATTTTAGTGGGGGTGGGGGAAGGTAGGCAGAGAGAGAGAGAGAGAGAGAGATTGAGAATCTTACAGGTTCCAATGCCCAGTGTGTGGCCTGATCTCACAACCCTGAGATCATGACCTGAGCCAAAATCAAGAGTCTGACGCTTAACCGACTGAGCCAGCCAGGTGCTCCTTTAGTTACATTTATAATTGAATCATATTAATCATCTCTTTGGAAGTTTTTTGCTCTATGAAAGTGATAGAAACACACTGACTACTTATGAATAAATCAATTTCAGTTTCTCAAGGCCACCCTATGTATGAACATAGTAGGTTCATTTAGTATGAACATAAAAATAGTACTGGCTCCTAAGTACATAACAAGTTGTCAGAATTGAAAACATTAATAAACATAAAACTCGTAGAATTTATCTCATATAGTGAACAATAAAGTTTAGTTGTTAATATATTTTTTTAAAAGCACCACTGCCACTGTTGAGATAGCATGTGATACATGTGTAATTCCTTATGATGGAAATTTAAAACTGTTATTTTGTATTTTAAGTAACCCAAGTGTCTTTTTATTGAAAATTTTTGTTGTAGCAGAATGATCAACATAATAGTTGCTTACAAAAAGTTCTAAACTATACTTAATTTTATGCCATGTTTATGTAATTAATTGTTTTTTAAACTTTTTGTATTCTAGTAGAGTTAGAAATGCCACTAACTCATCTACATCTAACAAACCAACATTCTTCCATGACTTCATTATGTACAGGACTTCAGACATTTCCATTTTCTCCTATTTGTAAAATGTAAGTAAAGATTATAGCTAGAACTCAAATTGCAATTCAGAATAAGATTTTATTTAAAGATTTTATTTATTTATTTATTTGACAGAGATCACAAGTAGGCAGAGAGGCAGGCAGAGAGAGAGGGGTAAGGAGGCTCCCTGCTGAGCAGAGAGACCAATGTGGGGCTCGATCCCAGGACCCTGAGATCATGACCTGAGCCGAAGGCAGAGGCTTAACCCACTGAGCCACCCAGGCGCCCCCAGAATATCCAGTCCTTAAACAAATCCCTTCATATTAAGGTAATTTACAAGATACCTCTGTGAAAAAAATGTAAGAGAGGACAGTATCTATAGTAAGCAAATAGAATATATGAATATATATGTACATTTTAAAATTTCTTGATACTATTTTTTAAATTTAAATTCCATTAATTAACATACCACATATTATTAGTTTCAGAGATAGAGGTCAGTGATTCATCAGTCTTATATAATATACAGTGCTTATTACATCATGTGCCCTCCTTAATGTTCAGCGCCCAGCCATCCCATTACTTCATGCCCTGCCCCTCCAGCAACGCTCAGTTTGTTTCCAGATTGAAAGTTTCTTATGGTTTGTCTGTCTCTCTGATTTCATCTTGTTTTATTTTTCCCTCCCTTCCCCTATGTCCCTCTGTTTTGTTTTTTAAATTCCACATCGGAGTAAAATCATATGATAATTGTCTTTGTCTGACTGACTTATTTCATTTAGAATAATGCCCTCTAGTTCCATCCATGTCATTGCAAATAAGATTTCAATTTTTTGATGGCTGAGTAGTATTCTATTGTATATATATACCACATCTTCTTTGTCTGTTCATCTGTCAATGGACATCTGGGCTCTTTCCATAGTTTGGCTATTGTGGAAATTGCTGCTTTAAATATGGGTGCAGGTGCCCCTTCAGATCACTACAGTTGTATCTTTAGGGTAAATACCCAGTAGTGCAATTGCTGGGTTGTAGGGTAGCTCTATTTTCATCTTTTTGAGGAACCTCCATACTGTTTTCCAGAGTGGCTGTACCAGCTTGCATTCCTACCAACAGTGTAGGAGGGTTCCCCTTTCTCCACATCCTTGCCAACATCTGTTGTTGTTTTCGCCATTCTAACCAGTGTGAGGTGGTATCTCGTTATGGTTTTGATTTGTATTTCCTTGATGCTGAGTAATGTTGAACATTTTTTCATGTGTCTGTGGCCATTTGTACATCCTTGATTTTGTATTTAGAGAATATCTTTAGAAAGACACACAAGAATCAGGTAGCTTCGGTTGTGTCTGGAAGGGACCTGGGTAACCTGGCAATATGGGAGCTAGTAAGTGAAAGACCTTTTTATATTTTATATTCTTTTATATTTTTAGTATTTTGAATGTGAACATATTACCATTAAAAATAGACAAGTTGAAAGATTGTAAAGATTCTGGCACTAGAACAGTTTGCTTAGGACATTGCCATTGGATACCTGCCAGTGGTACTGCCTCTATTGGCACTCACTGCTACGAAAGATAGTGTAGTGTATATTCATTTGCTCAGGCTGCCTTAACAAATACCAGAGACAATGGCCTAAACACCCAGTCTATGGTAAATAAATTTATTTATTTTTTTAAAGATTTTATTTATTTATTTGACAGACAGAGATCACAAGTAGGCAGAGAGGCAGACAGAGAGAGAGGAGGAAGCAGGCTCCCTGCTGAGCAGAGAGCCTGATGTGGGACTCGATCCCAGGACCCTAAGATCATGACCTGAGCTGAAGGCAGAGGCTTAACCCACTGAGCCACCTAGGCGCCCCTGGTAAATAAATTTAAATTTATTTATTCACAGTCTGGAGGCTAGAAGTCTAAGATTAAGATATTAGCAGGGTTGGATTCATCATGAGATGTCTTTTCTTGGCTTCATCTTAGGTAGCTGTCTTCCACCTTTTTCTTTTTTCTTTTTTTTTTAAGATTTTATTGATTTATTTATTTGAGCTTTTATTTATTTTCTTTTTCCTTTTTAAGATTTTATTTATTTATTTGAGAGAGAGACAGTGAGAGAGAGCATGAGAGAGGAGAAGGTCAGAGGGAGAAGCAGACTCCCCATGGAGCTGGGAGCCCAATCTGGGACTCAATCCTGGTACTATGGGATCATGACCTGAGCTGAAGGCAGCCACTTAACCAACTGAGCCACCCAGGCGTCAAACTCTCTGACCAGGAATAGCCAAGGATTACAGGGCAGTGTGGATAGGGATCAATAAATAGATTTGTCTATCAAATTACTTTCCTAGGAGTACTAGGGATCATATCCCATCTCTAACAGAAGGCATCCACTGACCTTGTTTACCTCTGTTGATGTGGTATTGGTTTTGGGAAACTAGACATGTAGAACCAAGTTCTGATCCACAAATCTGTTCAATACCCGATTGTTGCTGCACAGAATGGTGTATAATCTCAGAACTGACATTTCAGGGCTGGATCATTGTATTCTAGTTTGAGCCAAAATTGTATAGCTTAATGGCCCAGCATATTTGCCCTCCAGTGGAGTCTGAGATAGCTTGGTTTGCTAACTTCTACCATGTGGCATACATGTAACTTAATGTGTTCTAAGTTAGATTAGTCTGCTGTCTTGGAATTGACACTCTATTCCCCTGCTTTTACACCAGTTACAAAACTAGGAGCATAACCAGTATAGCCTCTTTCTTTCCCACTGTAGTCCTGAAACTAAATGAGTCCGAAAATAATACATTTCAGGAAAATTATAGGAAAGTCTACAAGTCTCTAATGAAGTGTTCCCAGAATGAATGCTGTGGGAGCTGAGTACTGAGTTTTTAGTTTTTAGCTGTGATCTGTCAAAGGAGAATTCTGTTGTGTAATTGGGAGCAACTGAAACAACTCATCACTAGCTGCTCAGGTTTCTATTAATGATCTCAGGAAGGTATCACAGCACACAGTGGAGGAGCCTATTACTGAAGGCTCCAATTACCTTCATCTTCTGGCAAAGAATAGTATCATTTGGGGGTAAATCTGTGACATACAAAACTCTACCATGAACTGGAACTGCCCATATCAGAAATGAACTCTTAAAAAATCTCATGGAGGGGCGCCTGGGTGGCTCAGTGGGTTAAGCCGCTGCCTTCGGCTCAGGTCATGATCTCAGGGTCCTGGGATCGAGTCCCGCATTGGGCTCTCTGCTCAGCAGGGAGCCTGCTTCCCTCTCCCTCTCTCTCTCTTTGCCTGCCTCTCCATCTACTTGTGATCTCTCTCTGTCAAATAAATAAATAAAAAATCTTTAAAAAAAAAAAACTCATGGAACAAGTATAGAAACTACTTACACTTTGCTTAAATACTTTTAGTCCCTTTGCTGAGGTGCAGATGTTTATTCGCAGGACCCATACCATCTTTTTTTAGTGCTCTTTTACTCCACGTATCTGAATCCATGTGTTAAGGCAGATTGGCAATCAGAAGCAGAAACTAGAAGAAATTAGTACAATCTTGAATTTCAATCTAATATTAAAAGCACTTACTTAATTGCCATAAATTCCTGTTAATCACACAAGTTATATATCTACTTATTGTTGTAACTCAACTACATAGATGAAACTTAAGTCTCATCTATGTTTTATGATTTGCCTAAGTTAGAGCACAAAAGGATTTTTAAAATTAGCCAAAGGTTCTAGGCCAAAGTTGTTCTATTTGAAACAACTTAAAGAGGTCATCTCCTCACTGCTATTTTCATTAGCGAGAGGTAAATCACTTCCATTTGGCTTATGAATATACAAACTTTAAAATTCCTATTTTAAAAATGGATTTTCACCTCATCTGTGAATCTAAAAAAGAAAAAAGTGTTAAAAAAAATAGAAGGGAAAAATAATGTGTAATGTTACTGTACTCTTAATTTGCTTTTATGTCCCCAGTTACTTTTATTTCAGAACACAACATTTTGGCTGGAAATATATCCAGTTAATAAATATTTTGGGAGCTTACCACGTGTCAAACTCTCTTGCTAGACTTTATGGAGCTTAAAAGAAAAGTCTGTGTAGCACCAGACTTTATTTCCACACTGATTACTGAATTGTGAACATATTTTTATTTATAATGAAACAATATATCAAATTCAGACATATCTTCAGAAAGTTCCATTAAGAGTGGGAATATTTATTTACATTATGGCCTTCTGTTGGACTTGGCTTGCCTTCCTTTTGCTTTAAAGTAATTGTCTATAATCTGAGCTGTCTGTTTGTCAAAGAGATCTTGGTAAGGTTCAAGAATTATCTAGAATCTCAGTTTGTCACCTCATCCTAGATTTTGCATTATGTAAGTAAATTGGATAGCTTAGACATAAAACAGCTTTCTGCTGCCCAGGACTGTCAACTCAACTAGCAGTATAATTATATTATAATTAGAGTGCTCACATATGTCCCATATGAACAGAGAACCAGAATACAATCAATTCTTAACTTGGAGTGAGAGGTTTGGGAGCATAGATTAAGGGGTTTGTGGGTTAATGTTATCTTCCCTACCAAGGCTGGTACCTTCATAGCTACTGATAAGCTGTGATTTATACTAATTGTCATCCATCTTTCTTCCTTTCTCTTCCTAGTACTCCTAAACAGGTAAACAGACATACATCACTCATTCACACACCCGTCAAGATTAAAGGACCTGAACTAAACTTCCCCACTAAACTTTCACCTTCTCCCCCCACCCTCCACCAAAAAAAACACCTTTTACCATCCTGAGAAGGTAGAGCAGGCAGAACATTTTCATAGTTTCTGACCCTCAACTAGTAGAGGCTCCAGAATTTGTTTAGAATGGACTTGGGGACAACAATTTTGTAAAAAATTTGTGTTAAAACTACTTTTTTTGTATGGAAAGCACAGTAATTTTACTTAAATTATATTTTTAATTTGGGTGGCTTATAGGGGTAGTGCTGGCACACTTCATGGAAGGAAGTGCTAAAACCCTCCTAAGTCAGGCTCCTTTGTCTCCAAGTTTCATTGAGGGAGACAGAGGAGTTAAGGTAGGCAAGCAGGAGCAAATAAGAGCTAACAAATTGTCAAAACTTCCAAGGGGAGGAAAAGTAAGTATATGAAATTTGTTCTCTGAAAATCTCTATTTCAGTTTACACATTTATAGAGTAAGTTTTTTAGTTGCTTTTGTATGTAAAAAAATACTTAGAATAATAATTTTCTTAAAATAAAATTTTATTACATGATGATGAGCACTGGGTGTTATATGCAACTAATGGATCATTGAACACTATATCAAAAACTAATGATGTACTACTATATATTGGCTAATTGAATTTAAATCTAAAAAAGGAAAAATAAAATTTTATTATTAAAAAATGCTCAATATTATTAATATATTAGGCTCTAACTCTTCTTTTTCAGTAGTTTGCTTACTGCTGAAGAATCAGCTAACAAAAACCATATGATGTGGCAGTTAGAAAGCTGCAGAAGCTCACTGAAACCGTTTCTGCTTACAGGTAAAGATTAATTGATTTTGAATGCTAAACAAAAAGTAAAGGTGAGAAGATATAGTTAGTAGAATGTATTGTCAGCTTTATTTTTTTTTTAGTATTGTTACTGTCATTATTAAAAAAACACAGGTCCAAAATTAGGATTTCAAAATTTTTCATTTTAATTTTGGGTTGATGCGTATAGTGCAGATAATAATTTAAGTAGTTATGCTACTTCAGTTCCTCCATACATTATGTTTTGTTATTATTAGGTTAAAAGTAATGATGTGGAAAGCTCTGTGCCACAGTATCTAAGATGATAGTCATCATAAAATCTGATCAAATATATCTTCTAGTTTAGGTTCATTATAATAAAATAGAATTTCAAATTTAGTAAATCTTACTTTAATTCCTCAGAGTGTTATCAAATGTGTTAATTTAGTAATTACTAAAATGTTCAAACAAAATAATGGTACTATCTCCTAGTATGTGTTAGAATAATTTTAACTTTATGATATTTCCACGGATTAAAATAAATCCCTATGTGACTTCTATTGCTATAATATTCTGGACTTTTAGTATCTTGAAGACAAAATACTAGCTATATAACTCCAGGTTTCACTTTTTTTCCCCAGTGTGTGAAAATCTATTTCATAAGGAATTTTCAGTGTGGTTCTATTTATTGTGTTTTTCATCTCTTTTGCCCTATGAACTGTTTCTGTTTTCCGTTTGTTATTGTTTTTTAAGTGCCAAGAACTGAAGAGCCAAACAGTCAATATTCAGTTATGGATTTGAAAAAGATATTTTCTATTGAGGAAGAAAGCCTTGTAGTTAATCTTGTGAGCACAGAGTGGTGGGAAAAGGGACAACTGAATCTGAAAGAGGCAGAAATTTTGGAACATCCAAACATGTATTTGTGTCATGATAACTTATCATCTGATGTTACTAAAACGGAGATATTTTTGCCAACGAAAGTGCCTCAGTTAGAATGTAAGTACACAATAGTAAATATCCACTCTGTGAATTTTTCAGAATGAGAAAATGTTAGATGCTGGCTTTCCACTAGGTGATTGAGAAAATAAAACTAAATTCCAGCATTCAATATTAGTCCTGGCTCTGCCAGAATTTATCATTTTTTTTAAAAGATTTTATTTATTTATTTGTCAGAGAGAGAGAGAGTGAGCACAGGCAGACAGAGTAGCAGAGGGAGAAGCAGGCTCCCTGCGGAGCAAGGAGCCGGATGCGGGACTCGATCCCAAGATGCTGGGATCATGACCTCAGCCAAAGGCAGCCGCTTAACCAACTGAGCCACCCAGGTGTCCCAGAATTTATCATTTTGAGCTCCACTAAGCCCCATTCTTTTCCTTGAAAAAAATAAGGAAGTTTGACTTGCTCATCCTGAAGTCCTTTGTTGTCCTAAAATTGTATAGTCTGTTTTTAAATTTCTGGCCATTTTCAATTAATGTGACTTTGTTTCTTTTTATATTAATTAATTGCTAGTGCAGTGTGTATTTACATCAGACTAGACTCAAAGCAGGACAGTTATTTTTTGATCTGACAGGTAAACTCTGTGTGTTCAATAATATCTAGTAAACTTTCTTTAACAGTAGATAATCTTCCTTTGTTTCTAAAGAGTTTACTCAGTTAACATTTTTTAATTATATAGTTTAAGGTGGCAGAAATGTCTTTTAAGTATCTTTTGAGTTATTTTGGTTGTTATATATGCCATTGTAATAAATGGAACATAGTTAGTCTGAATTACACCTTTTTGTGTTTTTTTTGTTTTTTTGGGTTTTTTTGTTTTTTAAAGATTTTGTTTATTTATTTGATAGAGAGAGAGATCACACATAGGCCAAGAGGCAGGCAGAGAGAGATGGGGAAGCATGCTCCCCGCTGAGCAGAGAGCCCCATATGGAGCCCGATCCCAGGACCATGGGACCCTGGGACCATGACCTGAACCGAAGGCAGAGGCCCAACCCACTGAGCCACCCAGGTGCCCCTGAATTACACCTTTTTGAAGTATATATAGATTGTTTTTAAATCAGTTTGTGCAATAGCTTTAGAACTTAAAGAAGTTGGGAAAGTTCACTTTTAGCTTATTATAGAGTAAGTAATTATATTTAAAAATGCATTTTAGAAATTATTGTGTGTGTTGGGAGACTGCTCTAAGGAAATAGGAACTGGAGCAAGAATTGTTGTCACCAAGAGATGTTTCAAAGACAGAAGACGGAGGGCTTTGGTAGAAAGGAAAATAGACTATGTCAAGGAAATGTACACCATTCGATCTATCCTAAGGCATAGGTGGGTACTAAGGGTAGAAGAAGAATTTTTTTTTTAAGATTTATTTATTCATTTATTTGACAGACCGAGATCACAAGTAGGCAGAGAGGCAGGCAGAGACAGAGGAGGAAGCAGGCTCCCCGCCAAGCGGAGAGCCCGACATGGGGTTTGATCCCAGGACCCTGGGATCATGACCCCAGCCGAAGGCAGTGGCTTTAACCCACTGAGCCACCCAGGCACCCCTAGAAGAAGAATTTTAAAAGAGATTAAGTTAGATTGCTAGACAAAGAAAAGGGAGAGGAAGGTTTTATGGGGTCTTCAAATATCCAGAATAATGTATTAAATTTATAAGACTATGTATAGTCTTTATTATGAAATGTAACTATTTTGAGGTTAAAGTAAAACATGTAATTCACCTTGGCATCCAACAGAATTATGATGATAGTTTAATTATGAAGTTTAAAAAGCAATAACTGAAAAAAACAATAAAAATAAGTAAAAGACAAGAACTATATATCAGGTATATATCACTATATATGTCAGGATATGGGTGATTAATCAGAGAGAAGTAGAAGAAAATAATCAGAAAAGGGAAAAAATAAACAGTTCGTATTTGCCAGCTAAATATACCAGGATATCTCTGGAAAGTATCTCAGAGGTTGCAGATTGGTAGCCTCTGGTCCTAGTCAGCCCGGATATTATTGATCCATTTGGTGTTTTAATTAGTTACCAACATTTACAGTTTGGAGGGTTGCAGATAAATGGTCTGTATTTTGAAATTGTCTTTAAAAATTCCAAAAACCAGACCTATACTCTTATAAGGCAACAATTGGTTGGAACCAATAGCAGCTCACCACTTTAGACAGGCCACTAATAGCTCACCCACCTCCAGTTCACCATCATTCCCAGCACTCATAAATTGAGGCCAGGTGTTAGCGGAAGTTAGCGTTACTCTTGCACTTTTGTCTTACATTTAGTATAGTTAGGAGGAAAGTAGAATGTTTCTTAAACCAGTATCTCTGATAAAGGCCAAAACAAAAAAACTACAGACTACATTTGGAAGAAAAAATTCAAAATTTATCTTCCCAAAGATTATGATTTAAGCACTGGCCATATACTTCATCCATTTACATACTTTATTTATCCGACCCTATAGGTATTTAAGTTTTTCTCAAACATTTTAGGGTATACTTTACATATAATAAAATGCACCCATTCTAACTACAGTTTTATGCATTTTGACAAATGTGCATACCAATGAAACAACCCACCACAATTAAGATGTAGAATATTTCTTTTTTAACTTGTTTTTATTTAAATTCATTTAATTAACATATAATATACTCTTGGTTTCAGAGGTCCAGGTCTGTGATTCATCAGTCTTATATAATACCCAGTGCTCATTATATCACATGCCCTCCTTAATGTCCATCATCCAGTTACCCCATCCCTCCACCCTCTCCTGCCCCTGCAACCCTCAGTTTGTTTCCTATGATTAAGAATCTCTTATGGTTTGTCTTCCTCTCTCTGGTTCCTTTCTCTCTGGTTTCATCTTGTTTTATTTTTTCCCTCTCTTCCCCTATGATCTCTGTTTTGTTTCTTAAATTCCACATATCTGTAAGAATATATATATATATGTATATATATATATATATTTTTTTTTAAGATTTTATTTATTTGACAGAGAGACAGAGCAAGAGAGGGAACACAAGCAGTGGGAGTGGGAGAGGGAGAAGCAGACTCCCTGCTGAGCAGGGACTCGATCCCAGGACCCTGGGATCATGACCTGAGCAGAAGGCAGATACTTAACTGACAGAACCACCCAGGTGCCCCAGTGAAATCATATATTAATTGTCTTTCTCTGAATGACTTATTTCATTTAGCATAATAACCTCTAGTTCCATTCATGTCATTGCCAATGACAAGATTTCATTTTTTGATGGCTGTGCAATATTCCATTGTATATATATACCATATCTTCTTTATCTAAAGTTATAGAATATTTCTGTCACTGAAAAAGTTCCCTGTGCCCCTTTGTATTCTATAGTCATTACATTCCTCTCTTCTTCCAACCTTCACCCCTGACCCCAGGTCAGACCCACTGGTCTACTTTCTATCACTATGTGTTAGTTTTCCTTGTTCTAGAATTTTGTTTATAGAATCATATAGTAACTCTTTTGTGTCTGATTTCTTTCACTCAGCATAATACTTTTGAGATTCACTTATGATGTTATGTGTGCAACTAGTTCATTTCTTATTACTGAGGAATTTTTCATATGGATGTACCCCAGTTTGCTTATCAACTCTCCTGGATTTATTTCCCAGATTTTTATTATTAGGAAAAAAACTATAATATTCTTATAGAAGTCTTTTTGTGGTCATGTGTTATTATTTCTCTTGAGTGAATATCTATGAATACAATTACTGAGTCTTATGGTAAGTATATACTTAACTTCATAAGAAACTACTAAAGGGCCACCTGGGTGGCTCAGTCAGTTAAGTGTCTGCCTTCAGCTCAGGTCATGATCCCGGGGTCCTGGGATAAAGCCTGGCTCCCTGCTCAATGGGGAACCTGCTTCTCCCTTCTGGGAATGAGCTCTGAGAGCTCGTGCTCTCTCTTACTATCTCTGTCTCTCTCTTTCTCTCAAATAGATAAATAAAATCTTAAAAAAAAAAAAAGAAACTATTAAATTGTTTTCCAAAGTGGTTGCACTATTGTGCATTCACACAAAAGATAGTAATCTTTAATTTTAGCCATTCTAATGGGTGTGTTGTGGTATCTCATTGTGGTTTTAATTTGTATTTTCCTGATGACTAATGGTGATGAATATCATTTTACATGGTCATTGGCCATTTTATATCTTCCTTTAAAAAATATATTATAGGGGCACCTGGGTGGCTCAGTTGTTAAATATCTGCCTTCAGCTCAGTTCATGATCCCAGAGTCCTGGGATCAAGCCCCACATCAGGCTCTCTGCTTGGCAGGAAGCCTGCCTCTCCCTCTCCACTCCCCCTGCTTGTGTTCCCTCTCTTCCTCTGTCTCTCTCTGTCAAACAAATAAATAAAAACCTTAAAAAAAATAGCAATTTTTTTTTAATCCTATATTTTTTAATAAAGGAGCTCCTGGGTGGCGCAGTCTGTTAAGTGACTCTTGGTTTCAACTCAGGTCATGATCTCATGGGTGGTGACATCGAGCCCCAGGGAGCGGGCTCCATGCTTAGGAGGGAGTCTGCTTGAATATTCTCTCCTTCTGCCCCTCCCCCTACTTGCACATGCACACTCTCTCTCTAAAATACATAAACCTTTTATATATGTATATATATTTATATTTATATATATACACACATATATTTTGAATATATGTGTTGTTATTGAATATATTGAATTATATTTCAATAAAGCTAATATATATGTATGTATGTTATACACATATATTAATATAGTAATATATATTATATGTATATATAAATATATGTATATACATATATGTATATATAGTATATGTATATATACGTATATACACATATATATACACACATATATATTAGCTTTATTGAAATATAATTCACATACCATACAATTATCCATTAAAGTATGCCATTCAATGGTTTTAGTGTATTCACAGAGTTGTAATCATCACCACAATCAATTTTAGAACATTTTTCTCATCCCCCCAGAAGAAATCCTATACCCGTTAGCAGTCACTCCCCATTTTTCCCCATTTGCCCAGCTGTGGAACCACTAATCTATCTTCTATCTCTGTAGATTTGTTGACTCTGGATGTTTCATGTAAATGGAATCATACAATATGTGGTCTTTTGTGATTGGCTTCTTTCATTTAGAATGTTTTTAAGATTCATCCATGTTACAGCATGTACATATCTTGTGTATTGTTTAAATATTTTTTAAATATTTTGTCAAATTTTAAATTGGCTTTCTTTTTAAATATTAAGCTATAAGAGTTCTCTGGATATATTGGATACAGTCCTTTTTCAAGTGTATGTATTGCAAGTATATTCTGCTGTTCTGTGGATTGCTTGGTACCTAAGGTTTTGACCTTTAGACTTAATTGCAAGCCTGTTAGCAATAGGGCTTTTCTGGAATTCTTTCTTTGCTTGGTAACCTAGCTCCAAGATTAAGAATAAGAGGTGCTGAATTTTTGCACTTTTAAAAAAATTTATTTTATTCAGGCCAAAATTGATTTTCAAAGCAAGAGACAAAGTACTTCTAAGGATCAAATATATTAATAAGAACTTACAAATAAAAGTTATTTTAATACCCTAGTAAGAACACTCATTTATGCATGAAAGTCATTTAGGTATTTTTATTTTCTGTTTTCAGCATGGCTAGAGCAAAAAAGTTGTTCTTCACCTATTGTACTTATTAATGAGACATCTACAAATGATCATTTATTACTTCCACAAAAGATTTCATCTCTGGCAGAAGTATCAGACCTGTGTTTTTCTGATGACAATTTATCTGTTAAACAACCAACAAAAGAAGAAAAACCAAAGAATGATCTAGAACTAGTTGATAGAATAAGCCAAAATAAAGAACATGAAGATTACTTAGAACTTGACTGCACAGTACCATCTATTGAACCATCTTCCTCTCCAAAAATTGATAAAGCATCTTTTAAACATGGTAAAAAATGGGAGAATGATTTGGACCTTTTGAGTGACTTTATTACACTGCGAAATAAATATAAGACTTGTATGTCAAAGACTGAAGTCACAGGCAGTAAAGAAAATGATGGTGGGTAATTTAGTAATATTTTGGCATAGACATAATAGCTTTAAGGACTAAATGTATAATTTACTAGAGAAGGTAAGAAAATTTAAAGATCTTTCAAACAAAATATATTCTTTTTCAAAGTCAACGAAAATGACATTCATTCATGATACTTATTGAGTATGGAGATAGATGTGGCTATTTAGGTATAGATGTGGATACGTATTTTCCAAAAAATTTATAAGTGCTTTTGAACTTGTAAGAAAAGCCACTATTTGTAAAACTTGCTTTCTGCAACTTGGCCACACAGAGTCAGTATTTCTAACTTTTATTGACCATTCTGCCATTCTTTTTTCTCTTTTAGCTGACAGTTCTCAGTATTACATTTTAATGTGTACTTAAAAACACTTTGCTCATTTGATTGCTTATTACTCTTTTAAATTTACTGAAGAGTTCTGTGTAAGTTGTAATTATTTTACGTTCACTGCTTATGACCATGTCAAAGGTAGTATGTGTCATATCATTTCATTTCTGGTAAAGAAACAGTAAGTATTCTAGAATATATTTGACATATGTTACCCAGAAGAATTAAGTGCAAAAATATTTATGTGAGAGAATTACAGCATGGTTAGGTCTTATGGTCTCATATATATATATATATTTTTTAAAGATTTTATTTATTTATTTGTCAGGGACAGAGGGAGAGAGAGCGAGCGAGCACAAGCAGACAGAGAGGCAGGCAGAGGCAGAGGGAGAAGCAGGCTCCCTGCCGAGCAAGGAGCCCGATGTGGGACTCGATCCCAGGATGCTGGGATCATGACCTCAGCCAAAGGCAGCCGCTTAACCACCTGAGCCACCCAGGCGTCCCGGTCTCATATATTATTAACATTCAATTCTGCTGTTTAGTTAGTAAGCCCACTTAACTCTTAAACTAAGTTCCTTTCTCCAGCTTAAACTTTATTAGTAAAAGAGGTAATATTTTGGTATATATTTTACTTCTTGCCTTATTTTATAGTTAATTCAGGGGCAAGAAAGAATGTTACAACTTACTGGGCCCCCTCAAAAACTTTAGTAATTCATATAATTTAATCCTAGCTATTCCAGTTATTTATAGTTAATTAAAAGCATACTTGAAAATAATAGCATAATCTAGTTTAGGATATTTTACTCCACTAATTTTCACCATGTATTTAAAACTCATATGTTAAAATCTTTTAAGATGGTATTGTGTTTTTAAAATTGCCCTGTAATTGTATTATTAACAGATAACATTACTATCTAGTTAATATAAGTAACTATAAATAATTAGTTATATATATATGTTTATATATATGTTATACATATAACATATATACATTAACTTATATATATAAAACTATAAATAGTTATATATGTAAAACTATAAATAATTATATATATATATATATATATATATATATATATTTGTAATCCTCTACAATACTCTATAATACCTAGGAAAGAAGGAAGAAAAGCGACATTTGTTGAATGTTGTATGCCAGGCACTAAAATACATATTAGAGATAAAAATGATACCATTGCTGACCTCGAGAAGCTTGCAATATAGTAGAGTAGGGTTATAGAAAAATTCCTGAGAGCTGAAAGGTGAGTGGTTAAGAATTGACCTAATTAAGAAAGGACAGAGCCAGGGAGGACTTGGGGCATAGGAGAGAATTAGTAGCAGAAGGAGGGGGTATGTAGAAAGTCATAGAGAAATGATATTGAGCTCTTTGTGCATTTTAGGTGTCAGGAACTGTACTTGGTGCTTAATCTTTATAACAATATTCAAAATAGGTATATTTATCTATATATTACATATGGGGACACTGAAGCTAGTGTCAGAACTGAGATTGAAACAGTGATTCAATGTCAAGATTCTTTCTGCTATTGCCATTCAGCACTGTGTTATATCCATCAACCTGAATAGTTGTTCAATTTAATACTGATGTGTTTCAAGGAAGAGCTTTAACAATTGTGATTGTATTACATGGAAGCATTTTAAGTAAAACAATGTTAAGTTTCCCTGAATAATGCGAATTAACATTTTTATTAGGAATTCAAGATAAAGAACATTCTTTGACTCTTCAGGAAGAAAGTCCTCCTGTTTGTACTAATAAAGCTCTAGAGAAAATAAATCAGGAAAGGATAGTGGATAATGTCATTGAAATTCAAGCATCAGGTATGCTGTATGCTTTTAAAATGCATTCTAAGTAAGTAAATTTGAAAGCCCTTTCCTGAGTATGAATCAGGACATACCCGATTTTCCATGTAATTTTTTTCACTTGTTTCAGATGTTTCTTCCTTCCATTCCTACTTTTAAGATATTCCCACACCTGAACTCCCCATTCACTGCCTCTTCTTCTTTCCATTTCCCTGCTCCAGTCCACTCACTGTTATTTCTTCCTTCATTTAAATTGCTGCTTCCCTACGTTCCTCAGACAACAGCAAACTGCTGCTGCTGAGACACTTAGGCCCAGTCAGAAGAATGAACTGCTGAGGCTTACTCCCTCTGTTCTCTTACCCACCATCAGGGTGATGTTAAAGAAGCTATTATTGTGTCCTATACTGATTAAAATTTTTGCCTCTGCTGTGAAGAATATTCCTTGACTCCTAAAGAATAGTCTGCTTAGGGACGCCTGGGTGGCTCAGTTGGTTAAGCGGCTGCCTTCGGCTCAGGTCATGATCCCAGCGTCCTGGGATCGAGTCCCACATCGGGCTCCTTGCTTGGCAGGGAGCCTGCTTCTCCCTCTGCCTCTGTCTGCCTGTGCTCGCTCGCTCTCTCTCCCTCTGTCTCTGACAAATAAATAAATAAAATCTTAAAAAAAAAAAAAAAAGAATAGTCTGCTTAAGAACATCATGCTCATTATTAAAATCAATAAGGAAATATGACACTAGTTTCTAGTATCTTTTCAATTCTTTGGTTCAGTTTTATTTATGACCTTTAGATGATAATGCAAATCTTAAAGTATTGCTATTCTAGTGAAAACTAGAAACAATTTGTCATTGTGGTAACTTTGTTCAGCTTAAGGTTGTAAGCTAATTGTGGAGGGAAAAGAAAAAAAATGTAATTCTCTTTATATGGCTCCTCATGTTTGCCATGCCAAATTAGTTACTGAATACACATTTAATAGGCAGAATAACCATTAAATTATGCAAATTCTACAGAAGGTTTTTGTTTTATTTTGTTGTTATGAGTTTATTTAGAATAAATATCCTAAATGAACCTCTATACAGTCTCATGATTTTTAATTCAGAAAATAATTTGGAAGTAGTTCAGTTTTCCATCAAGTGACATGTTTAATTGGTTTGTCAAAAGGAGCATGCCATCCTTTTTTTTTTTTTTTAAGATTGTATTTATTTAAGTGAGAGAGAATGAGAGAGAGCATGAGAGGGAGAGTGTCAGAAGGAGAAGCAGAGTCCCTGCTGAGCAGGGAGCCTGATGCAGGACTTGATCCTGAGACTTCAGGATCATGACCTGAACCAAAGGCAGTTGCTTAACCAACTGAGCCACCCGGGTGCCCAGCATGCCACCCTTATAAAACGCTATCTTTAATGCTTTTATTTTCACAGATAGCCAGTGCCAAGCATTCTGTCTCTTAGAAGCAGCAGCTACTCCTATTTTAAAAAAACTTGTAGGCCTCTGTACTCTCCCTGCTGCTAATTGGACATTTGCCACTGTCATTTTTGACCAAACAAGATTCCTCCTAAAGGAACAAGAAAAAGTAATAAGTGATGCTATTCAGCAAGGTGAGTACAAATAAAATCATGTTATTTAAAAGGATAAAAACGTATGGGTTATTGTATCAAATGAGTAAAAATTGAATATAGAAGGTATAGAAATTAGTCATGGATGAAGGCATCACTTTAATTCAGAATATGATACTATAAACTAATACTGGAGGGTGAGCTAAGTAAGAGAAAAAGGTAACAAATACCATCTGGCATTGCTTCTCAGTAATGCTCCTAATTGACATATATTACTTGACAGATTCCTATTGCAAAAAACTAAATTAACTCTCTATTATGAACATCTGAACCACCTGTTCCCTCCTCAGGTAGGGGGGAGGTTAAAAATAGATTAATTAAAGTCAATCCTGGACTTTTCTTCTGGCCAAGAATGGAGTTTTCAGGAAAAAAAGAAAAGACAAAGGCAAAATACATGAAACCAGTTTTTAAGACCCTAGACATCAGGCAGTGAAGAACAGTGATTTCTGAGATATGGGAAACAAGTAAGGTGAGCCCTACTATTGCCCTAGCTTACTCCCTTGAAAAAGTCCACCAGGCCATAGCACAAGGACAAATAGTAGGAACAGAGCCCAGTGGACATTCTGTGTTGAGGCAACAGAACTGACTGTGATCATGATCTCAGGGTCCTGGAATTGAGCCCAGGGTCCAGCTCTGCAGTTAGCTGGGAGTCTGCTTGAGGGTTCCCTCTCCCCCTCTCCCGTGGTCCCTCCCCGCCACACTATCTTTCTCTCTTAAATAAATAAATCTTTAAAAAAATAAAATGAAATACTGAAAGAAAAAAATCCTAGTATAGAACTAGGCAAACATACATTATGAAAGCAAAAGTGAGGGGCACCTGGGTGGCTCAGTTGGTTAAGCGTCTGCCTTCAGCTGAGGTCATGATCTCAGGGTTCTGGGATCAAGTCCCGTGTCAGGCTCTCTGCTCAGCAGGGAGCCTGCTTCCCCGTCTCTCTCTGCCTGCCTCTCTACCTACTTGTGATCTCTCTGTGTCAAATAAATAAATTAAATCTTAAAAAAAAAAAAGCAAAGGTGAAATAAAGATGTTTCATACATACAAAAACTAAAAGAATTTATCAGCTGCAAATCTGCACTCTAAGAGATGTTCAAGAAATACTCTCCTAAAGAAGAAAAATGATACCAAATCTGGTTTCTCTACCCTGTTCTCATCCCTTCCAGGTCATCTTGTTTCCACAAGTCCTTATAGGGGCTGTATATACTACTCATAAATGGTTCTCCTGTTGCCTCTTGGTTCCCAGTGACTACTTCATATTTGCCTTGATCTTTATTGATTGATTAGATGAGTACTTTTCAAACTTTTTAGCAGAACTTTTTATACAAATATTTCATGGGATCCCACTATATTAGAGCTTTTCTGGTTGAATTGGGGCAGTGGCCTAGATTCCTTATCTTTTTGGTTTCACTTTTGCACACAGTAAAATCCAATCTATCATCTTCAAAAAACTCTAAAACTACATGGAACACATTAAGTAGACAATTGGCCTGTCCCTATGAATACATCTCTTGCTCAAGTCATATCTTTGGACAGTTATTATTCCCAGGTATCTCTGCCTCCATTTCAAGGTATTACTTTATGTTAGGATCACCCATCTTTATCTTCACCAGTTGGCAAGTTACAAGTTTAATTTTCTTCTTGTTTTATAACTGGGAATCACTGATCTTTTTTCCTACCAAAAGTGGGAAAGCAACAAGAGTATGACCACTAAGGTTAGTCATCTGGGTTTGAATGCCAGCTCCATCATTTATTCACATGTTGGCCTTGGACAGTTACTTAACCTTGTTCGGACTGTTTTCTCATCCAAAAAATGAGGTTCACAATAAACTTGTCTGACAGGGTTATCATTATAGATTCAGTGGAATACCAGCTTACATACAGCCTGGTACATAGTAAGCACCTAATAAAGAATGTTAGCTATTATTGTTAAGCATTCTGATACATATTCTAAAATTCTGATGTGCATCTTATGTTTTTAAATATGTTTCTGCTTGCTTAGGTACAAACGATGAAAAAGAATTGACGTTCAAGCATGCTGCTCTCTTACATCTTCTGGTAACAATTAGAGATGTCCTTTTAACATGTAGCTTGGACACAGCATTGGGTTAGTGGGGGAAATTTTTATTTCCCCTTTTCTTCCTATTGAAATATTTCATCTGAAATAACTTACTTTTCTGAAAAAGATGCACCTTATAAGAAATTATTTAGCCTCTTTTACTTCCACATTAAGCTTTATATACATTTTGACATAATTATAATAGAATATATGTTTTATTCTGCCTGTATTCTTTAAAAGAAACAATTTGTAATAAATATCATCACTTAGAAAAATAGGTTTAGGATTCTCTAATCTAGGCCTGAATTACAGAGTCATAATGTCTTAAACAGATTTGATTGTATAATCATTGTCATATACTACTTTTTAATGTAAGATATTTTGCCATGTACATTTTAGGTCTTCATTGAATGTGGCTTTGAATCTTTGAATCTTTGCTATATATACTATATATATAGTTACATATAATATAATATATGTTACATACATATGTAATAATATATATAATATATATACTATAACCAAATTATTAATAGTAGATATTTTGTAATTTCTTTTTTTTAGTTTTTTTCTGTAAATTAGGATATGAATTACTGGAGGAATAAAAATCAAGCTATTTTGAATACATTGGAAAATTTAAAGATTTTAGAAATTTCTTCTAAACTATCAAAATCATTTAAATATTTGTCTCAATACCCTACTGCTTGAGACTCCTTGTTGCAGGATTATTTAGATTTGTTTAGTAACGGTATACTTATAGAATTGTTTTATAGTTTAGAATTTCTAGAACCTACTTGAAATATAAAGTGAAAATAATTTTACTATGATCTGTGACCCAGAGGTTTTGTTTTATCTGTGACCCAGACAAGAATGTTCTAATCCAAGGTTTTGGTAAGTACTGAGCAGCAGTGAATTACAACTGTACTCCCTCAGCAGCACTGGGAGTTATAATATTTGGCCAAGTATTATATTAGTATTATCTGGCCAAGTATTAAAACTAAATTACAGTTATTTTTAGAAAGCCCAACGTGGTACTTTTCCTCCAATTAAACCACTTGGGTGTTGATGCTGGATTTGGTTGTTTTATCTCCATCCCCAGACAAGTATGGACTGGGGACTCTCACCCTAGTTTACAGTACCTGAAATTGGTGTCAGGGCGTAGTTTTACATGCCCCTCTGTTTAGTCACCTGTCTTCATTATACTTTTCAGCTTCCGTAAAAGATCATCAGTTCTTTCAAAAGCTAAGCTGATTGTTAAAGCGTAACATAAGGCAGAATGTCAGAATCTAGAATATCTGAGCTCCCAGTGCTGTAAAGAGAGTGCAATTTTGACTCACTATTGCTCAATACTTAGTATTAGAAAGCTAGAATTAGAGAAGTAATATTTATGGAGGATTACTTGGGATATATTCACCTTTAAGTACTTTGTACTTTCACAATCTACTCTAGGATTAGGTGAGACCATTAAGAACTATGTACTTCAGCTGAATTATTTTTGTTCCTTAAAGGAATACTTTCACCAAATCAAACTTGAGAATTGCTGTTTGGCTACCTTGAGGAACACTATGAAAGTAAAATCCTTGTTGGAAAACAAACCAAGCCATAAGGAATAACCTAGCCAGCTTGGACATTTTTAGTGGAGAGATGTCTTACTCCTCTAAACCTCTCCAAATCAAAGAACTGAGTTAGATTGTCCTCTTTTTCCTTTTTCTCTGCATAGTGGCAGAGAAAGAAAAAGATTCATGGGGGTCTGGCTGTCTGCCTGCTGCCTTCCAGAATTCTGTACTTTTCTCCCAGCTTCTGGTTTTCTACCTCTCCCAAGCTAGGAAGTTAATGAGTTTCAAGATTAAAGGTATAAAGTTTCACTCTTGAGGTTTAACCCAGAAATAAATTCAGTATTGTGTAACGGGCATTAGAGCAGCAGTATGTACTAATGGCACAAAGGATCAAGACTGTTACCCTTAAAGCTGAATATTTGTTTAAAAACAAGTAGGAGTTTGCCAAGAAAAGAAAGGATGAAAGGGTATTATAGGCAGAATTGAGAGCCTGGAAGAATGACCCAGTGGGTATGCTGCATGTAGCTAAATTGAAGAGAATAAGGTAGAAAGGAATAGGAACTAAGCCTGAAGACATAACAAAGAAACAAATCATGAATAGCCTTTTAGGCTGCACAAAAGAGTTCAGACCTTATCCTGTAGATGATAGCGAGCCATTGAAACCGGGTGCTACTGGCTTGGGCTTCTCTTTCAGAAGATGAGGTCTAGAGAAGCGGGAAGAGCTTTTAGGCAGAAATCCCTGAGAAAGAGTCTAGATTTAATGAATATGAACTTTCAGGGATTGGTCTCAGGATTCTGTTTAGAAACTGCTTTAGTGAGTCTGAATTTAGGCTCTGCTCTTTTAGCAGCTCTATAAATGAATTATGCATAAGTATCATGGATTATATCCCAGGAGTTTATAGACTAATGAGATTGACATATACATACATAAGAAATCAAGTACAAAATCTCTATAGATAAAATACCAAGAAAATTCCAATGAAGTGACATTTCCATAGGACTTGCATGTAAGTGTAGACCAAGCCAGAAGGCAGGAAAAGATGGGGTATATTCAGAGGATATATAGAGTATGTCATTATGTAGCTTAAAAGAAGACATTTGGTATTATTTTTCAGCTTCACTCAGTTTTAAGGTTTTCATTAGTCAATATCTTTAATCAAAATCGGAAAAAGATTAAAGGAAATTTTAACTCTGTTATGACGCATGGCTTTTCTCAAAGAACAAAAAGATATGCCTTCCCGCATTCCCCCCACTTTTGTTTTTAACAGGATATTTGTCAAATGCAAAAGATATCTACAAAAGCATTTTAGGCTCCTATTTAGATGACATTTGCAGACAGCTGGAGATTGTACAGTTTATTAGGGAAAAAAAGCCTGAAACCAACCACAAGATACAAGAACTACAATGTCAGATACTAAATTGGATGCAAAGTGGACAACAGATTAAGGTAAGTGCTGGAATAAAGCGGATGACAGTAATCAGCTTAAACAAGAATTGAATGTCAGATAAATTTTTGCATTTAACTCTGAAATTATGAAATAGTCTAGACTATTTCTAGAGAAAACCTTGATCGTTTTCTCTTTAAGTAAGTTAACAAAACAGAATTAGACCCAGAGAAAGGATGATTTGCATCATTGTTCATGTATCTTGAATTTAAAAATACTTTCATTTTTATTATACGCAGTTTTCTATGAATTGGTTCTCCAAGTCTCAAAACTGTTGTCTGGTATGTCTAAATTCATGAAAATATACCAAATAACTGAACTACAATAATTAATTTTAGATATTGAGCCAGAAGCTTATCTTATGTGATTCTATTAAAAAAGCATTAACTTATGTTTTGGATCATATTGGAAATTTTCGTCCACCCTACCTCAAGCATATGAAGGTTACATTGATAAAGACTTACGAGGAAAGACTTTCTTAAATGTTTTCAAGCTGAAAAACATTTCAAATGCTTTATGCTAAATCTGGACACAAATTTGTCCTTTTTCTTCCTTTTTTTTTCTTTGTCCCTCCTGTGTCTTTGTCTCCAGCTCTGTGGTTACTTAGATAACTTGCTTATCATTAAAATAAAGTAAATTAATCAGTAAGAAATTTAAAAATTGTTGTTTATTTGTTGTACTCTCCCCCCACTCAACCAAAAAAAAAAAACAAAACAAAAAACAAAACTATAATGATAACTAGGAAAGTATAGCAACAAATCATTGATTTTTTCCCACTAGTTCAAACTTGTCTGGGTTGAATTTAACACAAGCAATGCTGGTAAAAACAATTTATGTATACAGTCACCCTTATGGGAGTACATGAATGCTAAAAATGCCCCACTCCAGAATATTTTCCTAATTGATATTTGATCTTACCAGAATTTATTCCTTTGTGTTTAAGCACTGATATCTTTTACAGCACAAATATTTACTTGGTAATCTTTTTGTCAATAGTTTTATGTAACCATTGAAGCTTGTTATTTTATCACAGTAGCAAAACTATGAAAAAGAATAATTATTCAGATATATATGAAATTCTTGTTTTTGATCAGGTGCTGATTATAATAAGAATGGACTCAGATGGTGAAAAACATTTACTCATAAAAATCCTTAACAAAATGGAAGGTAGGGAGTTTTAAATTATGCCTCATTTGATAACAGATGTTTGAAACATATGAAAAAGTAGTGATCTAAGTTTTTAAATTAAGATATACTAACATAGGGGCACCTGGGTGGCTCAGTGGTTTAAGCCTCTGCCTTCAGCTCAGGTCATGATCTCAGGGTCCTGGGATCGAGCCCCGCATCAGGCTCTCTGCTTAGCAGGGAGCCTGCTTCCTCCTCTCTCTCTCTGCCTGCCTCTCTGCCTACTTGTGATCTCTGTCAAATAAATAAATAAAATAAAATAAAATAAAATAAAATAAGATATACTAACATAAAATTCATTCTTTAAAAGTATATAACTCAATGGAATCTAACCAGTTTTTAAATAAATCTGGACTTTAAGTCTGCAATATAAATATACTATAATGTATTTATATGTACATGATCTATACTTTTGTGTTTATTATTATTATCAATTGATACCTTTTATTGATTGTCCAATAGTTACTAAACGATTCTGTATTCTTACAACGACTCTATAAATCAGTTTTACAAAGAAAAAAGCTCAAGTTCATAGAGGTATTGTAACATGCCGCACATCACAGGTACTAAGTGAGATAATCAGGATTTAAACCAAGGTCTGTCTTATTCTAGTGTCATTCTTCAACCCTTCTACCAACTATTGGTCTCTCTGCCAACCTTTTCCACCTTGTGCCATGGAACCCATTGCTTATATGTAAACCCTTTTCCTTTTTTATCTCCTTGTCTTAAGTGAACCCAGCTTTCCGCAGTTGATACAGCCTCCTCTGTATCCCTTTCATATAGAAGCTGATAATTCTCTCCCTCTTATATATGATATATATATATATGTGTGTATGTGTGTATATATATACACACACATATATACATATATATACACACACACATGTGTATAGATTTAGATATAGATATAGATATACACATACCAATCATAGGATTGAAAGGGCCATTTCTTGCTTTCCATTATCCTTTCCAAAATATTATTTCTCAGGGCACCTGGGTGGCTCAGTCATTAAGCATCTGCCTTCGCCTCAGGTCATGATCCCAGGGTTCTGGGATCAAGTACCACATTGGGCTCCCTGCTCAGTGGGAAACCTGCTTCTCCCTCTCCCACTCCTCCTGTTGTGCTCTCTCTCTCACTCTCTCTCAAATAAATAAATAAAACCTTAAAAAAAACCAACAACATTATTTCTCTATCATCTGAGGCTATGCCATATTACCACAGCATTGTCTTGCCATCATCTAGTAACCACCCACGCATTCCCGGACAGTTGTGCACCTGGTTCATGGTATTCTTTCCACTCCTAGTCCTGCCATTATCCTAGGTGTCTTTAATGTGAAGCTCATTCAACACCTTGTTGTTTGTACAAGGTCAACACCTTGACCTTGTAGTTTCATTGACCTCCACAGGAGTAATAGTATTCACTTTTTGGTTATGCCATCAACCGTGTAATAGTGCAGAATTGTGCTACTTCTGAACTTTAAACTCTGATACATTTGTCTCTGTCCACAACTGTCTTACCTCTTCCATGATCTTCAGCAACTTAGAGATCTGTAATCAGTCAACTCCTTTCTTATAATCAATTAACTCCTCAGCATTTTTCCTCTTTCCAGACTTGGTGATGTGCCCATGACTTTAATCAATCTTGTCCTTCTGCTGTACCTTCCATTTACTCTCAGCTCTGAATCCATCAAGACATTTAACCCCTCTGTTCCTATACACAAGTTCCTGAGCATTATCAGAGAAAATCAGGTAATTTAATACCACTACAAACTTAACTTCTCTGATCTTTAATGGTCTCTTAATACTTCTTAACAACCTTTCATCTTACAACCTACCATCTACAAACTTACCTTCATTTCTTCTGTTCTTTTATCTTTTCCTTTCTTTGTAAAGGAGGTGAACCTCCTCCTTTTGAAAACCAGTTTTTCACTTTTGCCTTGGATCCCATGTCTTCTTGCATCAGTGTTCCTCCATCAGTTATTTCCTTGCCCAACCTTCCTCTCCAAAGACTCTTCCTTAATCTTTAAGCCATCCAGTATTAAAAATAAAATACCAGGGGTACCTGGGTGGCTCAGTCATTGAGCATCTGCCTTCAGCTCGGGTCATGATCCCACGATCCTAGGATCGAGCCTTGCTTTGGGCTCCCTGCTTGGTGGGAAGCCTGCTTCTCCCTATCCCTCTGCTGGTGTTCCCTCTCTCCCTGTGTGTCTCTCTCTGTCAAATAAATAAATAAAATCTTAAAATAAAATAAAATACCACCCTCAACCTATATCACCCTTTATTTACTATTTCTCTGCCCTCCATACCATCTCCAAATATACCTTTGCTGTAACCCTACTGTTATGCCCAAGTTTTCGTGTCCGAGAGACTACCAAGGAGCCAACACCAATGCAATCACATGAGGGTTTATTTGACAAGCTTAAGTATACCCGATACAGCGGAGTAGGGACTTGGACCCCGAACCGGATTACAGTCAGAAGTTTTTAAAGGCAGAGTGGGGGTGAACTTGGCAGTAGATAATTGGGCCATGACTGCTGGCTCAGCAGTAGGTGAGGACAAAGGGGATGTTCAGAAGAGCTATCAGGGTAAAAAAGACTGTCAGGATATTGGAGGCCTGGTTATTATCAAATTAAGGCCGTTTCTCCCTTTGATGAGGCACTGACATGACGACAATTGGGAGTTTCTTGGTGGAATGTCACATTTCTCCTATCAAGCGTTCTTGTTAGTGAGATTTAGGTTTAACTTTGTTTGCATTTTCTTCCGCCTCAGCCTCCTTCAGTTTTATGGAGGGGAGGGCGATGTTAGGGCTAGACTGGAGGTGGATACAGCCTTGTTTTTCTCGGCCTCCACACCTACCAAGCTATTTATCATGCTGTTTCCTATATTATGCTTCCTGTTCCTGCTATCAGAATGTTCTTCTCCCTTCTTTAGCAGCTAACTCCTACACAACCTTTAAAAATTAGTTAAAACATTTGTTCATGTAAATGCTTTCCCCTGTGCTCTTAGTGTATTATGTGCATAATTTTAAGGCACTACTTGCCATCCTAGGCTATAACAACTGATTCTATTTTCTTTTCCTTACCAGCATGTCACCTTCTGGAGGGTAAGGACCATGCCCTAATTTGTATTCCCAGCACCCACAGAAATGTCTGGAATATAGAAGGAACTTAATAAAAATGAATTGAATAACTGAACTAACGAATGCCTCTCTATATACATAGTAGACTGAGACTAGTGAAAAAAATTGAACTGAATTATATACAAATATTACAAATGTCGGCTTATCAGTGCTCTTGGTAAAATTAACTTTTAAATTATAGTAATATGAGAATGGAAGTCTCTTTCCAATAGAACTTTATAAGGTGCTATTTCTAGACATTATCATATGTCTAGAGTCCAAATTTGCAAGCTTGCGTCTTATTATTTCATCCAGGTTTCCTGTCCTGGGAAGATGAGGTCTTATCCACCAAATTCACAATATTTTACTAGTACCAAAAATTTTAAAGTAGTAGTTGACAATTGGTGAGGCTTGAACTTGACACACGTGTCTGGAATCGGGGTAACTGAAAACATTTTTTTTAATTAGGAAAGTGCTAAGCAATGTAGCATTATGAAACAAAGGGATTTAGGTTACTGAAGTAATACTTTTGTAAAGAGACTGAGGAAATATTCCTGCCCCATAGAGAAGATTACTTAAACCTACTTAATGGGGCACCCTTTCTTTTGGTGTACTTAAGACACATGGACAAACTATTATTGTATGTATCACTTCTTATCTAGGCTATTAATAGTTATATTAATAGGCTATTATTGGGCTATTATTAATAGGCTATTAATAGTATTAATAATATCAATAATAGAAATTATTTCTTTTGGCTTTGGGGATTATATCAACACTACTCTATTTTTTTTTCAAAAAGGTTTACTGACACAAAAATATTTTACTCCTTAAGCTGAAAAAATGTTTTTTATGTCTTTCTAATGCACAGCTATCCTCTATGTCTAGGAGTGAGGCCTTCTTTTTCTGTCTAGTGTTAGCAAGTAGAAATGTGGTTTCATCTTCTCTGTGCTTGCAAGATCCTAGAAATGCTTTTAGCAAGTAATCTGCTTTAAGATTATAGCTAAGACAAATCAGCTAAAGAGATTAGGTTTTAAATAGTTTGAGTTTGGGGTGCCTGGCTGGCTCAGTGGGTGGACCATGCAACTCTTGATCTCAACATTGTGAGTTTGAACCCCACGTTGGTTGTAGAGACTGCTTAAAAATAAAATCTTTTAAAATAATAATATGATTTTATAAATTTATATAAAAAGAGAAACACTACTCATCCTCTTCTTATTGCTACCAAAACTATTGACATATCAAGCCAAGTAAACATAAAATTATTAAGCATTACTCTGTCATTATCACATATGCCTTTGTCAACTTTACAACTGACAAAAGTACACCAATAGAGTGTAAAATTTATTTTAACTAGAATTAGCTATTCTTAAACCAATGATATCTACCAAAAATAAACTGTATTGTGGCTACAGAATTTTTAAAAATTTATTTTATTTTGCTAAAAAATCAGTAACATAAGAAACTTAAATTATGATTAAGAAGCAGAAGTGAATCTAGGGGCACCTGGGTGGCTCAGTGGGTTAAGACCTCTGCCTTTGGCTCAGGTCGTGATCTCAGGGTCCTGGGATCGAGCCCCGCATCGGGCTCTCTGCTTAGGGGGGAGCCTGCTTCCTCCTCTCTCTCTGCCTGTCTCTCTGACTACTTGTGATCTCTGTCTGTCAAATAAATAAATAAAATCTTAAAAAAAAAAAAAAAAAGCAGAAGTGAATCCAAGGAGGAGATGGCACCCAATAGGATTTCTGCTGCTTATACAGAAAAAAGGAAAAAGGGACATAAAAATTAGTCTCTTGCTATTTAGTTACATACTTAAATTTTTGACTAGAGAAAAGGTAAAATCAACCAGGGTTTTTAGCAAAGTAAAATGCGCAAAATGGATGAGTGTTTAATTTGGCTACTTTAAAATTAAGACTTTGATACATTTTATTATTTTACATAATAAACTCAGAATTTCCTGCTTGTATGTAAAAAACATACACACACAACAGAAATATTGCTCAAGCTTCAAACTTTCTGATATCCACAGACAGAAGAATAATTCAACAAATTGTATTTTAAGCAGTCTCCTTGTTCAAGGCCTTTATCTCATTTTTTATAGTAATGAGATATATAAAGATTTATTTATTTATTTGAGAGAGAGAGCATGAATGGGAGGAGCAGAGGAAGAGGGAGAGAGAATCTTTTTTTTTTTTTTTTTTTTTAAGATTTTATTTATCTATTTGACAGACCGAAATCACAAGTAGGCAGAGAGGCAGGCAGAGAGAGAGGAGGAAGCAGGCTTCCTGCTGAGCAGAGAGCCCGATGTGGGGCTCGATCCCAGGACCCTGAGATCACGACCTGAGCCGAAGGCAGAGGCTTAACCCACTGAGCCACCCAGGCGCCCCAGTAATGAGATATATAACATCTAAAAATTGTCTATGAACAAAACACTGAAAAACACTTTTTTTTATTACTCTTTTTTTCCCCAACAGGTTTAACATTGACTGTCTTACATCCAAACAACAAAAGGAAAGATTTTCTGGAATCTGAAGGTGTTTTAAATGGGTAAAAATGTATTTCTTCATCTATGGGAAATAAGCATACCAGTTCCATAGGAAAAGCACAGTTTCTCCTGGAATTTAACTTTTTAAAAGGTTCAAAATCAATGTGTCTCTCCTCTTCCTGAAAAGTGTTTTACATTAGAATACTTCAACTCCAGTCATTGCCTTGTGTGTTATATATTATTGTTGTCCAGAATTTTAGTTTAATCTTGCTATAATGTCTCCCACTTATCATTATCAGTGTTACTGTTAGTACAGGAAGTACCCGTTTAGATTTACCCATGTTTATACCAGTTTGGGGGGGTTTGCTTAGCATTGTTTCTTTTATCTTCTTCCTTTCTTTTTTTTCTAAGTTTGCTTAGCATTGTTTCTTTTATCTTCTTCCTTTCTTTTGAGTTCTCCTTCTTCCTGAAGTACATCCTTTAGAAATTCTCTTGGTGAAAGCATGCTAATAATAATATTTAGTGTTGACTTATCTAAAAATGTTTTTATTTTGCCTTATTTTATGTAGAAATTTTTATTGCTAATATTGGGAGCCAGATAACAAAAAGAAGTTGTAAGTCAAATAGAAGCCCATAAAAGCATTTAACTTGTGTCTGTTATCTATTTAGATTGCTTTAGATAGAAAGCAGCAGTAGAGAATTTTCATTACAATAAGTGCTATTATATGGAATTTGAAGATAGGAAAGATAAACTTATGATATTTAAGTATCTGTTTTTTGTCATTGCTGAATTACTTATGAAGCTCATTAAGAAAAAGAAAAAACATTTCAAAGTTGTCAGGTAATATTCTATTATGTAGATCCTCAAAGATGAAACCTTACATGTGTAAAAATGGATTCTCATAGTGACTTGTCTGTTATTGGTAGGACTCAGTTAATAAAATTAGGGTCCCTTGCATTTGAGAATGTGAAGTAGTCAACAGTTTTTTAGGTCCTGTTTTTTAAAGAAATGTATGACCATAGGGGCACCTGGCTGGCTCAGTTGGAAGAGCATACAACTCCTGATCTCAGAGTTGTGAGTTTGAGCCCCACATTGGGTGTAGAGATTACTTAAAAAATAAAATCTTAAAAGGGGCACCTGGGGGCTTATTTAGTTAAACAGCTGCCTTTGGCTCAGGTCATGATTCCAGGGTCCTGGGATCAAGTTCCACATCCTCATCATTGTCATCATCATCCTCATCATCATCATACTCATTGTAGGGCTCCCTGGTCAGTGAGGAGCCTGCTTCTCCCTCTGTCCCTCCCCCACTTGGGCTGGCTCTAGCTCTAGAATAAATAAATAAAATATTTTTTTAAATCTTTAAACTTTAATTTTTAAAAAAAAATGTATGACCATCAAAAAGAAAGATAAAAAGGAATTAGCACAACTGGAGAACAAATCAACAGAAAATACACCAGTGCCTTTCCAGGATAAGCAAGTATAAACTAGAGAAGAATAAAATAGCCAAAACAATCATCTTTTGACCTTTCAAGTAAATAATGACACAAATATAATTCCATTTTCTTGGCTTTATTTTGTCTTCAGTAAAAGTTCCTGTGTAGTTGTGCATAATCAATATATTGGATCAGATTTCCCCTGGAGTAACTTCTCATTTGTGGTGGAATATAATTTTGTAGAAAACTCCTGTTGGACTAAACACTGCAAGAAATTGAATATTCCTCACAAGGTCTTCAAAGTGATTCTTCCAGACACAGTTTTACAGAGTAAGGATATAAACTAAAATCCTTTTGTTGTAGTAGAATGGAAATTGTCTGTTTTCTGCTTCTGGTCTGTGGAAAGAGAATGAGCAATGGCATTAGAGAACTTGAGTTCAAGCTCTAACCTGAGCACTCCATGTGACCTTGGGCCAGTTCTTTACCCCTTACCCTATTTTGCTCATTTGTAAAGTAAGCTTTACTGGTTATATTTGTCATCATCCCTTTACCTGCTAAATTTTACTTATTATAGCACAACTTATTATACTTATATCTAATCTTCACCTGATACTTCTATGCAATAGTATTTTTTATTGAATTTTAAGGGAAAATTCTGTTGTAGTAGGTTGACCGATTCAGAAAACTTAATGTGCAAAAAAAAAAATTATACACAAACACTTCAAAAATAATTTAAATCTCTTTTGGTTTCTTTGTATTTCTCAGCAGCACTTCATATGACTCAGGTTGTGAATTCTCACATCCATTAAATTAAAAGCCTATACACATTTAGTCCCAGTGCAAGCCTTTCAATACTTGCCGTAAGTTATTTTCTGTTCACCTCAAGTCTGAGTGGGAAGTTTGAATTCTGAGATATTCCATTTCAATGCTAAAAGTAGAGTCACCATAATGATGACTTTGTAATCTTTGAAATATAGAATTAAATGTTGGGGCGCCTGGGTGGCTCAGTCGTTAAGCGACTGCCTTCGGCTCAGGTCATGATCTCGGGGTCCTGGGGTCGAGCCCCCGCATTGGGCTCTCTGCTCAGTGGGGAGCCCGCTTCCCCCTCTCTCTCTGCCTGCTGCTCTGCCTGATTATGATCTCTCTCTGTCAAATAAATGAAATCTTAAAAAAAAAAATTAAATGTTAAATTGATTAAATGAGGGCCCCCCAAAAGATAAAAGATAAATATCCCAGTTTATATGTAGAGGCTTCTTCCATTCTCTCAAAGATGAACTTAATTGATTCAACCAATTCCTTATTTGGAGCATTTATAATGCTTCAATTTTCAACTATTGTACTCTAAGATTTATTGTAGCTTATATATTTTATTTATTTTTATATACTTGTTCTAAGAAGTAAAATGAGTTGCCAGGTCAAAGGTATACACACATTTATTTATTGCCAAATAGCCTTCCAGAAATGCTATCTCAATTCATATTTGTACAGAAAGTATAAGAGAATCCTTTCCCCAGTATCTTTACTGTAAGTAGGTATTATTATTCTTTTGAATCTTTGACAGAATTATAGGCATAAAATATTATAATATATATAATATGTTATATTATAGTTAATTAATTACAGGTGATGTCTTTGATTATCCATGTCTTTTCAGATGTGACTTGATCTTGTATAGCCATTCTTTTGTAAATTGCCTAGTAATGTTCTTTGTCCATTTATCTGTTGCTGTATTTATATTTTCCTGTTAATGTATCATATAGTAGTTTTAGTAAATTCTGTTAATGCTGTTTTATTTTTAGGTAGTAGGATAACATGTGGTTTTTATTTTATTCTTCAGACCTTTCTTTATTCTGATTTCTGATTTTTTACAATGACTGTGTTTTATTTTTGTACTACTCCTTGAACATACACTTGCTATTCTCATGTTAAGTAAAAAAGAGAAAAAGATAAAGAATGAGAAAAAAGAGAAGTATTTATAAACTTTCTGTTATTCAGGAAGCACCTTGCTGGATAGTTTTGGTGGATTTCTTTTGGAAATTCAGATTCCATATGTGTTTTTTGCATCTGAAGGACTTCTCAATACTCAAGAAATACTTCAGTTGCTAGAATCCAAGTAAGTTATTGACTTCATAACTTTAACAAAGGCATATATATCCTAAATGGCTAAACATTGTGCTATATATGTGACATATTTCTCCCTGATTTAAGTTGCAATTATATCACATAGAAATAGTTTTCCAGAGAGTTTATGTCAAGTCACACTTCTCTCCCTGTAGTATACATCATAATTACTGAATATTATCTTTTTTAGCAATATATATCAATTTTGTGAAAAAAAATTTCATTATTGTCTAAATTTATATCTTAATTTAATTTCTTTTGTTATCAGCAAATATGAACACTTTATGTGTTTTTTTCCCTGCAAATTTTATGATCATATCTTTTGGTCATTGATAATATTGAAAATGAGTATTCCTATTTAGAGGGCTTTAAATATTGCATGGGAAATAGAACTATGATGTTCTAAATGAAGTACATAAGGCAATGCACATCTCAACTAATTTGTCACATATACTGAATAAATCTTAATTTTATTCCTCAAATTTGTAAAGTGGAATAAATTGATGTATGAAAAAGCTTTCGCAGTGGCAGTATCGTAGCCAATGAGGTTTATCCGAGGCGCGATTATTGCTAATTGAAAAAGCACAGAAGTTCAAATAATTTAGTATGCAGGGGGACAATACAACTTTTCTTGAAGAATTTTTCTTAGCCATTTTATTATGTCACCCCAAAATATGGGTTTTTACAGGTATAATATCACACTAGTGGAGAGATGCTGCAGTGACTCATTGAAACTCTTTGGAGGTACGGAGTGTTATGTAGTGGTGACAGTTGATGAACACACTGCCATAATTTTGCAGGTAAAATTATACAGTAAAAAGTATAAATTAAATATAGTACAGTATATTTGACCATGTAATTTATTATTAGCTTTACTATAGAGAGCTTAACTATAATCCATTAGTGTTTTCTTCCAAAACTTTGCAAATGGACAAGTATTAACATCATCACTATGGAAAATGACTATTATCAAGCTTCTTTAATGTCTTACAATTTTTAGCATACTTTAAGACGACAAAGCAAATATGGAATCTTTAATGTTATATATTGACCTATTTTAAAATATATTTATAGAATAATTACAGTGTTGAAAGCCTTAAAAATCAAATCCTAGCCATTATGTTTCTTAAAAGGTGGTAGTAAATTAATGCATGTTTAGTAATACGGGATTTCCTCTAAGGTAAGTGGGGATTACTTGCAAGTAAGCCAGTTTGAAAAAAAAAGAAAAAAGAAAAATTCTCTTTAAAAAAACCCTATAGTTTAGAATTTAAGATGTACAAATTCTTGACTAAATCTCCCTGATATGTTTGCTTGATTGGAGTACAAATTACAAAGAAATTAATTCAGTAGGGAGCAGAAGCCAAGTTTGATGGGATGGAATATAAATTAATGGCAAATATGGTAAGGTAGAAGTCTGGTCATGAGCAAATGTTAACAGTATAAGAATTATATAATGGAAACACAAAGCTCTGTTAGAGGGTTTCTTAAGAGTTACTATGTCTTATATATTTAAAGCTTTTTAAAAAGATTTTATTTATTTGAGAGAGAGAAGGTGGGAACGAGAGAGCACAAGCTGGGGGGGGGTGGGCATCAGAGGAAGAGGGAGAAGCAAGTGCCTGCCAGAGCAGGGAGCCCAATATGGGGCCCTGTCCCAGGACCTGGGATCATGACCTGAGCCAAAGGCAGATGCTTAACCGGGTAAGTTACCCCGGTGCCCCTAAAGTTTTTTTAAAAAACAATTATTTAGGGCAAAATATCATTTGGGAAACTTTTAATTTTATTTTATTATTATTTTTAAAGATTTTATTTATTTATATGTCAGAGCGAGAGAGAGTACGTGCACAAGCAGGCAGAGAAGCAGGCTCCCTGCTGAGCAAAGAGCCTGATGCGAGACTGGATCGTAGGATGCTGGGATCATGACCTGAGCCCAAGGCAGAGGCTTAACTGACTGAGCCACCCAGGCGTCCCGAAACTTTTAATTTTAGTTCATAGTTACATGATTTAATGTTAGAGTAAGACACTTCCTGAATCATTTACTCTATCAAAAATTAATTGTATGAAGTGTGTAAACCTGGTGATTCACAGACCTGTACCCCTGGGGCTAATAATGCATTATATGTTAGTAAAAAATAAAAAATTAAAAAAATAATTAATTGTAGATCCAAGTTAGGCTCCATGCAGCCTGCTTAAGGGTTGCTAAGATTGGGGCACCTGGGTGCCCCAATATAGATATAGATATATATATATATATATATATATTACATTTAATATATATATATTAGATTATTGAAATATGGTAATAATAATTTCATAACAACTATTCAACCTAGTGAATCTTTTTATTTTATTTATTTTCTGGTAGGACCTAGAAGAATTGAACTGTGAGAAGGCATCAGACAATATCATTATGAGACTGATGGCATTATCATTCCAGTACAGCTATTGTTGGATAATCTTGTATACCAAAAAAACATTAAACTCAGAGTAAGTAAACATTTCTTCATCCACAGTCACCTTTTATTTCTTAAGTTATTTGGTCTTCCTCTTTGAATAAAAGTAGCTATGCAAATTTTCCACTTGCTTATCTAGTTCGCATTGAGTCAGGGATCTTTGAGGTGGAGGTGTGCCTATAGGGAAATAAATGGGGGGAAAAATGAAAGGAAAACAAATCAGAACTTTGGAGATGATATATTTCTGGGGGACATTCTGTGCAAATCATCCTTCTCTAGTTCACTAAGAGTTGCTGCTTTAAGTGTCTCACTTTTTATTACTTTTTAGTTCTGACTTGTCTGTTAAAAGATCCCATTCTTAAATCACCTCTCTCTAAACGCTTATTAAGTTTACCAACTAAATAGCACCTTGCTATTCTTTCTTTCATTGACATGCTTAATTAAAAATTACAAAAAATCCATGCCAAGACACTGGCTCAAGTTATCATTATATGTCCCTTCTTTCCTTCATCTCAAAATTTTATGAACCCACAGCTTCCACCTCCTTTTTTTATTCTCTGCAGTCTGGCTTTTTTCCTACATCTATACTAATCTGTCTCTCCGTGTCACTTCCACCTCCAAAAGTATTTTTATCTTTCTCTGCTTTACAGTATTGAAGACTGTTGTCAGTGCTTCCTTATCTGAAGCTCTTCAGTCCTGTGACACTTACCTTCTCTTTAACCACTTTCTCTGTCTTTACCTCTTCTTCTTCCTTGTCCCAGTCTCCACAGATACATCTAAATTCTCTTTTTATTTCTGTTCAATCCATTAGAAACCTTATTCATTGCCATAGCTTCAATTAGCATTTTTTGCCTATAATTATTATATTTATATGCAGCTGCAGTCTCTCTTTGAAATTGCTGACATGTCTCTCTAATTTTCTATTAAATATTTTCACCCTAATATTTTATAGACTCTCAAACTTAACATGTTCCAGGGTGAGTTCATTATATTTTCTATCCCTTCTGAAGCAATATCCTCTTTTTTGCCCTTTGGCTATTTATGACTTGCCTTTCTTTTAGTCACCTAAGTTAGAAAACATATCTTACAGATATAACCACTAGTCTCTTTTTTATCTATCCCCTCTCTCCATTTATATTGCCAACATCTTAGTTCAGATCTTATGTGGACTGTTAACATAGACTACCAACTGTTTTCCCACCTCATGGCTCTCCATGTTACTCTCCATAATCTGTCATACATTTGATTAATATTTCAAAAATCAAGCTCTTATTATTTCACTCTGATAAAAAGCCTTCACTGACTTCCCTATTATCTACTGAATACATACATACTATTCACCCTAATATTCAAAATCTTCAGAATATAATCCTGACCTATATTTTCAGGCTTAATTTTCACTGTTTTCCATTTCAGCCAGAAGGATTGCTCATTGGTTCAAAAATATGGTCCTTTGTTGCTTCTACTTTTGCTGATACATTTCTCTCTTTCTACAATATTCTCTATCTCCTCCAACTATTTGATCTGGTGAATCATGCCTATTTTTCAAAACCTATCCTCAAATATCACTTTTTCTATTCTATCTTTCTTTAATACCCCCATCTCATGCACACAAATAGATAGTTAATTGTGACCTCTCCATCCTCTCCATCCTTTGGACTCCTTAGCTCTCTATCTTTTCCTCTTCTTTGATACTTACCACATTTTGCTTTGTATTACCATTTTGGAGTACTTGCCCCATGGCACTGCACATTGTTTCATATAGTAGATACTTGGTAAATATTCCTTGACCCAATGAATGGATCTTTCCTACTAAATTGCAAACTGGTC